CCATGTTTTACAATATCACATCTTTGTAAAAGTAATAGATTCCAGAGCTCAACATTATCACCAAGGAATGATACGGAGCAGACTCAGGCCTGAATGGCTTTAAGGTCCAGGTCATGGCTTACATCCTCGTTTTAGAGCTGATGATTCCTTTGTTCTACATATCCATAATTGAAAGACTGAATTCTATCACTTATCTCTTTAAAAGAGATAGACTGCTCAGAAATATACTCAAGAGCTTTACCTCAAACTGTGCGACTCCTTCCAAAATGTCAAACATAACATCGACTGCAAAATTATCAACTATGTGGAAGTATTGGAGAGAGTTGAGTAAACACTTTTCACACCATGTTCATGAGACAGATCAGGGCTGACAATGATCGGAAGGGACTCTTTAGTTCTTAAATGCATGTTTGGGTGGTCTTCACTAAATACTTTCTGATGTCTCCGTCTCTTTGTTAGGCAAAAACAACAGCAATATTTGGCACTGAACGACTCCACATTTCCAAACAAACCATGTAGGCCAAGAATGTCACCTGTGACTTGACAAATGTTCCCATTAATGCGTCCACCAAGTCCTGGTATTTCAATTCTATCTACTTCCAAAATCTTAAGATCATTTACCAGAGGCTCAAGAATGGTTGCAAACCCATCCATCCATCCATCCATTTTCTACCCTTTAATCCATTTCTGGGTCAGGGGGGTGGCAGTCAGAGATGCCACCCAAGTCTCATAGCACCAGCCCCTCACTGACCCTCTGCAGGTGGTGAGTCCACAGGAGGACGGCTGCTCTCTGACTGTGAGCATAGCCTTGATCTTTCAGTGGGGGCTTTGGGCAAAGTGGGGTTAAGTGTCTTGCCCAAGGACACAACGACAGCAGTCATCAGTGGGAGTCGGTGGAGAAGGTGCAGAGGTGGGAATTGAACCCACGACCTTCTGGGCTTAAGGCCAATGCTCTACCAACTGAGCTACTGTCGCCCGCTAATGGGTTGCAAACCCATATTTCTTAATATCCTGAGAATGAAAAAGCATACATGAATGGATATTGCCATGACATGAATTGTATCTCGGAGGGAAGTTCCTTAAAGTTAATTGCACCAAGTTTGTGTGAGCCTTTTTTAGACCCCAAAGAATTAGATGGCTCAAAATCATCATAAAACAATTGTAACTGAAGAGATGGAATGTCCTTGGAAAAGAGGGGATTTTTCATCCCTTAAATCTGAATATAGATTTGACCTTGATGATTGAACTGATTGAAGTAAAACTGGAATGTGAGCCAATGTATCAGTCACGAGGATTTGACCAAATGTGCCGGTGTTTTTGTTCCATCTGTTGTCAAACCTGGAACCAAGGTGTTCCATGTGTAGCTGACAATCTTCCTGGCTATATATATACAGTGCCTTGCGAAAGTATTCGGCCCCCTTGAACCTTTCAACATTTCGCCACATTTCAGGCTTCAAACATAAAGATATAACATTTTATTTTTTTGTTATGAATCAACAACAAGTGGGACACAATCGTGAAGTGGAACGAAATTTATTGGATTATTTAAACTTTTTTAACAAATAAAAAACCGAAAAGTGGGGCGTGCAATATTATTCGGCCCCTTTACCTTCAGTGGAGCAAACTCAGTCCAGAAGTTCAGTGAGGATCTTTGAATGATCCAATGTTGTCCTAAATGACTGATGATGATAAATAGAATGCACCTGTGTGTAATCAAGTCTCCGTATAAATGCACCTGCTCTTTGATAGTCTCAGGGTTCTGTTTAAAGCACAGAGAGAACCATGAAGACAAAGGAACACACCAGGCAGGTCCGAGATACTGTTGTGGAGAAGTTTAAAGCCGGATTTGGATACAAAAAGATTTCCCAAGCTTTAAACATCTCAAGGAGCACTGTGCAAGCAATTATATTGAAATGGAAGGAGTATCAGACCACTGCAAATCTACCAAGACCCGGCCGTCCCTCCAAACTTTCATCTCAAACAAGGAGAAGACTGATCAGAGATGCTGCCAAGAGGCCCATGATCACTCTGGATGAACTGCAGATAACTACAGCTGAGGTGGGAGAGTCTGTCCATAGGACAACAATCAGTTGTGCACTGCACAAATCTGGTCTTTATGGAAGAGTGGCAAGAAGAAAGCCATTTCTCAAAGATATCCATAAAAAGTCCCGTTAAAAGTTTGCCACAAGCCACCAGGGAGACACACCAAACATGTGGAAGAAGGTGCTCTGTTCAGATGAAAGCAAAATCGAACTTTTTGGCCACAATGTAAAACGATATATTTGGCGTAAAAGCAACACAGCTCATCACCCTGAACACACCATCCCCACTGTCAAACATGGTGGTGGCAGCTTCATGGTTTGGGCCTGCTTTTCTTCAGCAGGGACAGGGAAGATGGCTAAAATTGATGGGAAGATGGATGGAGCCAAATACAGGACCATTCTGGAAGAAAACTTGTTGGAGTCTGCAAAAGACCTGAGACTGGGACGGAGATTTATCTTCCAACAGGACAATGATCCAAAACATAAAGCCAACTCTACAATGGAATGGTTCACAAATAGACGTATCCAGGTGTTAGAATGGCCAAGTCAAAGTCCAGACCTGAATCCAATCGAGAATCTGTGGAAAGAGCTGAAGACTGCTGTTCACAAACGCTCTCCATCCAACCTCACTGAGCTCGAGCTGTTTTGCAAGGAAGAATGGGCAAGAATTCCAGTCTCTCGATGTGCAAAACTGATAGAGACATACCCCAAGCGACTTGCAGCTGCAATTGCAGCAAAAGGTGGCGCTACAAAGTATTAGCGCAAGGGGGCCGAATAATATTGCACGCCCCACTTTTCAGTTTTTTATTTGTTAGAAAAAATTAAATTATCCAATACATTTTGTTCCACTTCACGATTGTGTCCCACTTGTTGTTGATTCTTGACAAAAATTTGTATTTTTATATCTTTATGTTTGAAGCCTGAAGTGTGGCAAAATGTTGAAAGGTTCAAGGGGGCCGAATACTTTCGCAAGGCACTGTATGTAACCCACTTTGGAATTAACATGAACGACTAGGTTCTTAAAGAGCTCAAATGTAAAGTGTTGGAACTATAGCCACAATGAAAGACAGACAATAGTTAAATGTAAATTGATTTAGTTAATTATGTCAAGAATTGTTACCACAAATACAATGTAATGTAAAATAAAATACAAAATAAATAGGCGCCTTTAAAATAACCCAAAAATAAATCCTTAAAGTCTGTGAGTGCACTTAAAGTTTTGTTCAAGGTGGTCAGCTGATACGGTCCTACGCAGCCGATAGCTCATGCGGTCTGCAATGGGATCATCCAGTTTTGGCTCAGGTGGGATGGCTCGCCGTCTAGTGGTCTTCTTCAAAGATGTTTCCAAATCTCATTAAAAAGACCTGACCTGTATTAAAAAGACAGGCTAATAAATTTCTTGCTCCAGTCATGACAATTAATCTAATTCTAATTCAAAGGTACAACATATTTCTCATGTACAGTACATAGCAACAAAAAGAGATTCTCTGTATGCAAACATTTTCTAATTATTCATATACATAAACCATTTATAGGATTATTTCAACCCTTTATACAATAAACAATAGCATTTTAGTCACAGACAAAATTTCTCACCGATTCACGCACGTATGAGCCGGGACACAGTGACGTCACGGCTCTGGATGTGAGCGCTCGCGCAGATAACTGCCTCTGTCATCAATATGGACCGGTTAGAACATTTAGACAAACAGCCAACACATCATCAATCAAGCAATTCTTTACCAATTCTCTCTCGTTCCTTTGCGGAACGGTGTCGGAATCTGCGCTCAGCTTGTCTTTCTCTCTTTTCTCTGCTCTAAAACAGTGAGGAGGTCCGTTAGTGTAGCGGCCGTTGGTCATTTGCGGACGTTAAAGTTGCGGTGGTCACTACAAAGTAACTCTTACCGATCAGTCAACTTTAACTCCAGGCCAGCAACAGGACTCTTCTTTTGGCTTGGATTGATGTCATTTTTCCTCTGATTTTTGCTTTTGAATTGTTGAAATTATGGAGCTGAGCTTTGCGTGTGTCTCGCTGCGTGTGTCTCGTTGCTTGACTCCAATCAGAGAGGGGAAGCGGGGTCGCGTGCACCGTGGATCTGAACGTAACGTTTTGGCTGTTGCTACGCGACTTATATGCTGCACTACAGTGCATTGTGTTGGCACATATACAAATAAATAAATAAACAAAGTACACATTTTCATTTAGTACTTAAATATGTTAGCCATTCCTTTGTGGTTTACATTTAAATTAGGAATTTGGTTTTACACCTGGGTTACATATATATATATGAATTGATTACCAGAAAGCCTACGACTCAATGCCACACACATGGATCATGGAATGCTTGAAGTTGTACAATATCAACAGGGCTCTAAGGGACTTCGTTGAAGTGACCATCAAATGTGGTATCTACCAAGGAGATGCTCTGTCCCCACTACTGTTCTGCATAGGCCTCAACCCTCTAAGCCAAGTAATTGACCAGACTGGCTATGGATACCGCCTCAGGAACGGAGCAAAGATCAGTCACCTCCTCTACATGGATGACATCAAGCTGTACGCCAAGAGCGAGAGAGACATCGACTCTCTGATCCAAACAACCAGGATCTACAGCCATGACATCGGGATGTCATTCGGACTCGAGAAATGTAGCAGGATGGTGACTCGGAGAGGCAAGGTAGTCCACACAGAAGGGATCTCACTCCCAGAGGGAACAATAGCAGACGCTGAGGCCAGTTACAAGTATCTCGGTATACCACAGGCAAATGGCAACCTCGAACAGGTGACGAGGAAAGCAGCAACTTCCAAATACCTGTTTAAGGTTGTTTAAGAAAATGTAATTTCCCATATTTGAAAAATGAACTCCGTCCCTAATAAAGAGACCGGGGCAGTCAAACTTTATGGTAGGATGACAGACCATGCATCCGCCAAGGTCACTCACAAACGTGTTTAAAACATTATTAATAAAACATTTTGCCCGATTGATCCGCCCCGGCTGGGCGTCCCTCCATTGATGGATACCGCCTGTGGAGGTCCTGCTTCATCGCTGTGACCAAGTCCACGCTCTTCACCTTCCCGAGGTCGTTGCTGCCGCAGCAGATGAGCAGGACAGCCGGGGCGGACCGTCCCCGTAGCAAGTGCAAAAGCCAGGGCACCAGGCTGCTCCAGCTGAGTCCTCCGCGGCCAAACCACTGGATGTGGGCCGCCATCCCTAAATTCTGACCAAGGGTCCCGGCTGCCCGGTCGCGACCACGCCGGGCGTAACTGTCCCCAATAATCCATACGCTGGGTCCTCTTCAAATACACATTATATTTTGTTCGTTGATAACATTTAATCGGACAATATCAGCATTTTACCTTCAACAACGTGCACAGATGGCATCTGGCTGGTTCGCTGCTGCTGCCCATTCATTGTAATTTGATACTGACAAAATAAATGCATGATTACAAAACGCTTTTGCATAAATGAAATACGAATAATTATTCACACTTAGCCCGTTGCCTTGCGTTGACCGTGGGAAAGTGCGTTGAAAATGGAGTGATCAGAGTTTTAATAGTGGGGGAGGAGTTTGTACAAAATGTATCAAAACACCTGTAATGGTCTTAGCTGCCAAACTTTACCACGGGCCCTTTTGCCTTGTTTGACGGTGACCCGAGTGAACGACGCAAAAATGCAGCTCGCGGAAATTCAATTTGGTAGACGTCAGCCAAAAGCTACCCCCTCCAGGCCGGTTCGCTTCCCCAGCCTATCGCACAGCAAACGCCCCCTTCCAATCATCCGTGCCGGACAGGCAGCCGCTTAAAAGCGGAGAAACTCCCACTTCACGGCCTCTCGAAGCCTCGCAAGCCCTCGAAGCCTTGCAGAGAATCGTCTGGAGGAATCGTTTTCGTCTACTCACGCTACTCGGCGCGACCCTGGCGTCCTCCGTCTGGCTGCTTGTGGTATGCTCCTCCTCCGCGTCCCTGCACCTGCTGTGGTTCGTGTGTCTCCACTGCTCTCCTCCTCTGCGGGCTCTTTCTGCGGCCTGCTCCGCGGGGCCCTCCGCGGGTTCTGTGCTGCTCGTTCCTCGTGGTCTGCTGCCGCACGCAGAAGGTCTGGCGGTGCCATGCGTGTCCCTGCCTCGATTGGCGGTGCCGCGTTGTCCCGTTGCTTTTCCCAAGTCTCCTGGCATGTGAGTACAGTGATCACGGAGTTTTGGGCTGCAGGCGATTGGTTTTTGCCCCGCGCACTGGACTGCAGGCGTCAGTTTTTTCGCCCCGTGCTTGGTCTACAGGCTCCGTTTTCACACGTGTTTGAGCTAACTGAGGGGCAATGCATACTAAATGGCATCAATCTCTATCGTCTGGGGATACAAGAGGCGCAATGTGCATTAATTCAGATTCATGTTCTGCCACTCGCAGTAAAACCACGTCGGAAAAAAATCTGCAAGACTACCCCATTGTGCTCCAGACGGCACACACCAGAGCTCTTGCCACGGCGCCATATTTACAGCATTAATCTCATTACTCGCAGGTCACTATTGTTTAATGATTGTATTAAATTCGTCTATCTGCAGGAGGAAGGAGGGGCCATGCATTTAAATAGCTAGGTCACTGGTATTCAATTAGGTAACTAAACTGCAGTCGTTGCATTTGAAAGTGCAGCAGAAAGAAAAAGGGCCCAATGTGAATCTGCAATGGGTTTGAAGTGGTGTTGGAGCTAATGAACGCGTGGAACAGTGATGGTTCATGCGTATCTGCCATAACCAAAGCAGCAAGATGGCTCCAGGGGACGTCTGTTATTCGCATGGGAATGTTTCGGATTCGGGTTGATTTATTTCCTCAGGCTGTTAAACAACCGTGGGCACGGTTCTCTGACCGCCGCTGCTGCCGTTCCTACTGCTGCTCCCGCTGCTGTCTGTCCCCGTTGCCTGCTCCTGCTGCTCCTACTACTACATGTGCCGCTGCTGCTGTTCCTGCCGCTGCCGCTCCGCAGGCTCCCAGGCTGCACCCGTCTCTACGGCTCGGCTCTTTCAGACACGTATGTAACCTGGCTCACGGAGACAAGCGGCGCACGCATGAATCGCTTTGTGGTGCTGCTGCTCCTGCTAATGCTGCTTCTGCTGCTTCATACTGCTACTGCTGCTGTGCTGCTGCTGCCGCTGCTGCTTCATACTGCTACTGCTGCCGTGCTGCTGCTGCTTCATGTACTTTGACATCTCTCTTCAATTCGCATCTTTTACTGAAACACTAAACAGCTACAACAATATTCTACTGCTGTGGCTTTGATACAGGATTATTGCTGTTATTGTCTACGGACGCTGCAGCTGCTGCTGCTGCTACTGCTGCTTCAAACTGCTACTGCGCTGCTGCTGCTGCTTCATACTGCTACTGCTGCAACTGCTGCTGCTGCTTCATTTACTTTGCCATCTCTCTTCACCTGCATCTCTTTTTCTGAAACACTGAACAGCTACAACAACATTCTACTGCTGTGGCTTTGATACAGGACTATTACTGTTATTTTCTAAGGACGCTGCTACTGCTGCTACTGCCGCTGCTGCTGCCGCGGCTTGATACAGGATTATTGCTGCTATTATCTGAGGTTACTGCTGCTGCCGCTACCGCTGCAACCCACTCTCTCAGAAGCTTATCCTGCTTCTAATGGACGCAGCCCGGCTGAGTATGCCGCGCTGCGCTGGACTCGCACCTATGCTCCCAGGGTCGCTTCGGCGGTCATGCTTCATCTCTCTACTTAATCTTCTGATTCTATCAGATGCAGCTGGCCGAGTAGCTGCGCTGAGCTGTCAATCGGACTCCTAATCAAAGGCATCCATACCTGTATTCTTCACTCTTCTGATCACAGGCTCCCCATCGTGCTGCCCATCCTGCAGCGGCTCTGAGCGGCACCGAACTCCGGCTCATCTTCCAAGTACATGTCTGCCCTCCTCGCAGCATCTTCCTGCTCGCCTTCTATGGCTTCTCTGCATAAGCGTTTCACTACTGCTCACTCAACCTTCATGCGGTCCGAGACGCGGCTTTCCCGACCATCCTACTATCCTGATTATCTACTCTCCAACCCAAGATTCTAAGCGTAAGGGCGCCTGCAACATCAATGGCCCTCTCCGACATGTCTCTGCCCCTACAGGTCTCCGCTTCTACACGGACGTGCCCCTTCCGTGGGTTTTGGGGGGTTCTTCCAGGACCATTGGGTTGCCGGGCCGTGGCCGCTACTTTCCACCGGAGCATCTCCTCTGCCCTACACGAGACATTCCCAGTGGTCGTAGCCTGCGCGCTGTGGAATCACACGTGGCAGAGAAAGAGGATCTCTGTCATGCGTGATAATCTCGACGTAGTGGAAGCATCACACAAAGGTCGCTCTTTTTTCACCCAACATAATGTCCCCTGACCCTTTCAACCTTCATCTCAAACATTCAAAGACCAAGGCGCCTGCAACATAATAATAGCTCGCTCCGACACATCTCTTTGCCCCTACAGGTCCATGATGCGTTACACTCGCCTCCGCGGCAAAAAGGAGATTTTAACGGACCTCTAATTCCCGCTCCAGACAACCTTCCCATGACAGCAACCTGGTTCAGAGCTCAACTAAGATCCCTACTGCTCCTCTGCAATTGTCTCCCCAGCTCTACACAGCCCACTCCTTCAGGATAGGCGCTGCCACGCGCGCGGCCTCGCTGGGGCTCCCCCACACCTCTCTGCAACAGCTGGGGCGCTGGTCCTCTTCGGCTTTCTCCGCCTACATCAGGCCAGACGCGTCCGCTATCCTGGCTGCACAACGTCTACTGGCTTCCTCGTAAGCTCCCAGCAAAGCAATACGAAGCAAAGTAAGTGAAGCAATAAGTTCTGGTGGCGCACGCACTTTTCTCAAACACTCTCCGCTGCCGCAGCGTCTGACGGAACGTGATGCGAGCGCTCACGTTCCCAGCGCGCAAAGATAACCCTGCTGCAGCGTCTGGTTGATCGTGATGCGAGCGCTCACGTCCCAGCGCTCAAAGATAACCCTGCCGCAGCGTCCGGTTGATCGTGATGCGAGCGCTCACGTCCCAGCGCTCAAAGATAACTCTGCTGCAGCGTCCGGTTGATCGTGATGCGAGCGCTCACGTCCCGGCGCTCAAAAATAACCGCATATAACGGTCACAGCATATAGCGATAGCGGTCATAGCATATAGTGATAGCGGTCATAGGGTCAGTGATAGCGGTCATAGGGTCAGTGATAGCGCGGTCATAGCGTCAGTGATAGCGGTCATAGCGTCAGTGATAGCGGTCATAGCGTCAGTGATAGCGGTCATAGCGTCAGCAGCCACAACGGTTTTACATTTCCTGTCCATCTACATCGGAATACACTAAGACAAAGTTTAGAATGTTTTTAGGATTCATCTGCGCCGTTTTGGTTAAGAATCAAAACAAAGAATCCCTGTACATAAGTGTTCAATAGTGCCAAACTGCCAGAAGGTGGTTGAGAGGTACTTTCTGGGAACTGCCACTGTGCCACTAAAAGCTGAATAAACTCTGCTGAGACTTTACATCTTTCACTAGATAAAATATACTACTGGAAACAGGGGAATAAATCTCTAAATGACACAGTGCGAATAGATGTAATAAAAAAAAAACCCATGATTAAACTGTTTCTACGTCAGCCTTCCTCTCACAGAAGAAGAGCCCAGAAGCTTCTAGCAGGACCATAAAACACGTCTGAACAGCAGATGTGGGAAGTGTGTCCGCGGAACAGAAATGAGGCAGGCATACTCCTCTGAACAGCATCTTCCACCTGAGCAGTACATCACATGAGGGCCCTCAGTGCACACGACCAACACAGACCCAGCATGAGGAGCGTAGTGCAGAAGGAACTCTCCAAGAAGACTGCCGCGACATAGGAGCAGAGGCGAGGGACTCTCCATTAGAAGACTGCCCCAGCAATGATGAGCAAAGGCTGAGGGTACCTCTCCCAAGAAGACTGTGCAGGAAACCTCCATCCGTGTGTCAGGACCTCTTTAAGCCTGCCACACAGAGAGCAGCATGGGCGCCACAGGTCCAACAACAGAGCAGTGCTGACCAGTTGTCGAGTGGCTGGAGTGGGGAAGACCACTCTCGCGCTCCTGAAGTACTGTCTGAACTGGGCTCAGGGCTCAGTAGAACCAGTAGCTGGAGCTGGTGTAGCCGCTGTCCTTCAGAAGATGAACCTGTGAAAGGGCAGCGCTACAAGTCTGATGCAGCTCATACAAGTGTATCCATCCCGCGCTGTAAAAACAGGTGCATTTCTCTTCTGCTACAGCCCATTCACATGTTTGCGTACTTTCAAACATTTTATTATAGTGTTTTTTAACCAACTGAGACCGTCACTCCCAGCCCTGTAGCTGATGCGTTTGAGAATCATACATCATAAAACGTTATAAAAACATCCTTCATATCCTGTGCGTCAACTGAATTGTCACATGACATCCGCTCTAAACTGCCTGCAATTCATCATGTAATGACTTGGTAACTGTCAGCGTACTTGTGAGATCCACAGACTCTCTCCCCACCCATCCTCCACACTCCTCTGTCCGTCTCTCTAAACCTACCTCTTCTCTTAGACGGCTCTGGAAACGGAGAGCAGACTGGTCTGGACTTTGCTGTGAGCTCATCTCTTGAGGTCACACAGAGCTCAGACAGACGTCAGTGTCTGATAGTGAACCTCATCAGAGTCACACTGCTTTCCTTGCCCTATATGGATGCACCTCCGAGATACCAGCAGTCAGCCAATCATATCCCAGCACAGAGTGTGCACATCGCGTCACCAGATGTCGAGGCTTCATCACTGAGCGTCAGAAGAGCAGTAACTTCAGGAAGCGGATCACAGATGAAGAGCAGAATTAAGACCGTCCCCTGTCCCACCTCAAAGCTCCCATGCAGCCTCCAACATCATGGTCCAGAATTCCCCATCTTCTCTGCTGAGTCACCGCCACCGTCCTGGGACCACATGTTGAGCACCGATCGATAAGCGGAGCCTGCCCAACTCTCGAGACGAGCATGTACGCTGGCTTCCTATTGTTCAGCACCAACAGATAGAGAAAATACAACCGATACCTGAGGCCCGCCGATCAGGGAAGAACAGCAGTTTTTGGTCTGGACCAGGTTCAAAGCTGAAACCAAGATCCAACAGTGAGTGTCGACAGAAGCAGACATCCTCCTGTAAGCTGGGCAGACTTGCCCTTTGAACATCTTCTGCAAGGAACAAAATTTCCTAACCAGGACGACCTGGAGCAGGTGGGACTGGAACCTGACCCGAGCCATCGGTCACCAGGACTCTGTACAGAGAACTTCAAACAAGTAAGTGTTGTCTTCACCAATCTGTCTACAGCTCGTCCACCTGAGTGTCCAGGAGTTTATGCAGCGATTAACCTGCTGCACTGCTTTGAAGTGACATGCAAGTCGTGTGAGAAGTTTCTTCTGTGAAAAGACTCAGACCACTAAAGTTAATGCTGCAAGATGAGTATTCTCAAAAGTCTCTTGAAAAATCTCCCTGGAGTGTTCCAAACGGTCGCGCATGGACTGTTGAGTGCTTCCTTCATGGCCGTCAGTCCTGGACACCAACACATAGACTTTTAAAAGGTCTGCTAATCCAGTGGAACAGTCATAAATCCACAAAGTCATTGAAAACCTCAGAATTGAGCTCATAGTAGGATCTCTATCAGGACAGAAGCATCATCCATCTTCCACTGTCTGCTGGAGAGCAAGAACCGTCTCTTCCTGCCCTGATACCAGCAATCTTCTCCAGAAGTCTGGAAGGGACTCAGCCGAAACACTAACTGACTGTGTTCCATGCTCTGCACTGGCCTACATGCTGCAGTATGTCAGAACCATGTCCTGGAGGAACTGACAACCAAATAAGTACAACGACGTCTGCAGAAGGTATTAGTAGGAGACATGAACCCTGCTGATGGATAACTGCATGAATGGCTCGCGTTCAGTCCTCATAAACAAACTAGCTTCAAGTCCTGATCAGACACTAACCAATTTAAATCTACGTCTGTTTATACAGGTTTTTTGACTGTAAAGAGCTCTCAAGACCCGACTGAAAGTGGTGCATCCAGCGCTGAAGTTCCAGCCCCTCCCATCTCACTGAACTGGATCTGAGGAGTCGTAACATGAATTGTCTGAGTCCTCAATTGTGTCCTGAGTTCTGTGTCTAGACTGCGGAGTCCTCACTGTGAGCTCGTGCCTCTCTACGAGAGTTTGCGTGTCACTATCATATAAACCTCAGGTATTCCTCCTGTATTGTGAGATCTGTGTATCGTCCCATAACTGATGGAGCAAGTTCCTCCGATGACACAGAGGTAGCAGCACCGGTTAAAATGAACCATAATGTATAATTCACATCATTACAGTTTAGCACTAACCAGAGGTCTTGTTTATCAAGATGTTAGAGCCTTGGCAGTGGGGCGTGAGCTTCAAGGTCTGGAAGATAAATACCAATCTTACTAAGAAATAAGGCTATAGAACTTCTTTATAATAGACACAGCTGTGACATACAAACATCAGGGACACTATACTGTGATGTTGACGCCCAAACTATAGTCACTTTTTAAATGTGATTATTCACCATATAAGCCTTTAATATAAAGCCCATGTTGGTGTCTGTTAATTCAAGACTTTAAATATCTAAAAGTGTATGCCACTTCATTACTATTATTCATTTCAACTAAGTGGTGTATCCATGAATGCATCACTGTTTTAAAAACACATATAGTTTAATTCTGGTCTAAAATGGTCGTAAGTTGATCTTAAGGCTTCTATAAATTAAGGCCTGAATGTGTCCACGCAAGCTGTGCTCATGCAACCTGAGCCGCTCTGTGACGTCAGGGACATTATTTAGAAGTGTCGTTGGTTCGAATCCTGTCCCTGTGCTCTTTGACTCTTGTCGTTTCTCTGGTGGTGTGAACAATGTGGGTATTAATATCTTAAAGGAGACGTATCTGTAGCTTTGCTCTGATGTTTAAATCTATGACACGTGAGATCAATCCTATACATTTGGACCATGTTCATCGTCATAATATCAAAGCAACGAAGCACTTCTCAGCTGTATCTGTAGTCTATAAGATCACGATGCTCATTACATCATTTTTCTTTCTTCAGGTTGTGGAACATGTGGTTTGTACAGAGATAGCTGTTCCTCTGTGGCCTCAGCTTAGGAGACCCAACCCCACACATCTCACATCCTGGACCTGAACAGAACGATCTGTCTGATTCAGCAGTGTCATAACTGATGTGGTTATTCTACAGAGTCCAGACCTGTCTACTCGGAGACCTCAGGTCGATATCACGCACAGCAACCTACACACTCAAAGTGTTTTCCTATGAAAACTGCAAACTACACTTTAAATGATTCTAAATGATCTACACTACATACATACGTTAACTGTAGTAGATGTCTATTAGCTCATGTTTTATCATATTATGTTGAAAATAGCGATTTCTCACCTCTATTTATGATCCCACTTTACTGGAACTTCAAACAGATACAACTGTGTATTAGAAGGCGAGGGGGCCGGGACTATAACAAGTTCATTAAGATTACATATAATTACACAAAAATGAGTGCGTTAAAAAAAAGAGACGCATTATAAATCGTATTTATTTTAGCCCGTCGCGGAACATATTCTCACCAGGATGAGTTTCACGACGGACCGATTAATACTGACGCCACACCCACAACTGACAAACAAACACAGTGTAACATTGTCGGCACTAGATCATAACGGAATCGGGACGAAACCTGGAAGTAACGACTCGTTACTTTCGAATTAGTTTTTAGACTAATAGTCCTTAAGATGTGACTGGTTAAGTTTTTAGGGCATCTGAGATAAGATGTTAAGTTTAGGGTTAAGGCTGGGTGGGGTTCATTTTATGTGAATGGCTGGTTATAGTAGTAGCCTTAATAGGTATTTGTAATATTTACTTCCCGCTTCCGTCCCGAATCTCCTATATGAATCTAGTGCGAGACACACAGTGAACATGATCCATGGATCTATTAAAATAACTGGGTATTACCGCTTGAGATCTGAAGGACCGCTGTGCACACAGTGTGCAGAATCTAAACCATACAAACCAGAACGAAACCAGACTAAACCAGACTAAACCATCTAACCAGACTAAACCATACCAACACAGACCAAACCAATTACAAAAACCATACTAAACCAGACTAAAACCAGACATAACAGAACTAGACAGACTAAACCATACTAAACCAGACTAAACCCGAATTAAACCAGACAACTAACCAGTCAAAACCGACTAAAACACAGACCGTTGGTTTGGCCCTGTGGTAGATTGAGAAGTATATTTCTCAAATATGGTATTGCACTTAAAGGCTAAAACTTTCAACTGTGTCTGGTTGGAGCTTGAACAAAAATACACAATATTTGTGTTGCTTAACACTTAATGTATTCATCATTATATTCATGTTTACTAAAAATTCCCTGTGAAAAACCGCTTCTCTCTGTTCTCAGGTCAAATATTACATATGTGATACTAAAATGTTATTTATTAACAAGCGTCGAGGGAACGACGTGTCTTTGATAACTCTGATGAGAGCAATTGCGTTTGTGCGATGTTGAAAGTACAGGTCAGAAGAAATGAATCCAGAACTGCAATCACACGTATCACAGCAAATCTGTTCATGGTGCCTAATTTGAGCAATTTAATTCGTGCAAACACTTTGTTATAATGTTTCTTTTATACTAACAAGTTGGCGGTTCGAACTCATTGTTTGGTTAGATTTTTGGTGGTTTTGTAACCAATAAATAATGGGTGGGGTAGGGGGGGGGGGCGGGGGGGGGGGGGGGGGGGGGGGGGGGGGGGGGGGGGGGGGGGGGGGGGGGGGGGGGGGGGGGGGGGGGGGGGGGATTATAATATGTTAAATATGACTCTTTAATTTGACTTAAAAAGTTGACATACACGTGTTTTCAAATAATTTTGCATTTTTAACATCTAAATCATCAATTATGTGGCCTATAAAAACGTAACTGCAATGCTGGTCTGAGTCTCATTAATTGTAGTCTCACTGGCCATTCCTTCTACACCTGTTCTGAGGAGCCGCCTGACAGAGCAACCTGTTTTGGTGCTGTCTCTTTAAATGCAAATGAGTCGCTTTTGACCACTCCCCCATCCATGAACACAGTTCCACTCCACCCCGCGCAGAAGAAAACACCATTTTTGTAAGTAACAAGCACAAATACATTTATCTCATAGAAACCTTCTCATTAACATCGCAAACATGAAGCAGTGCCTTCCTCATTTGACTGAAAGCAAATGTTAATATTTTCATTCTTAGTCCAGTCTTAAATCGACTCTTCTTTTTTAGGCTTGTGCTGCGCACAATTCTAGATGCTCACACACGCCGGTTTGTTTTACCACAGCGGATCGCCTGGCGCGAGCCTACGTCGCAGGATATGACGCACTAACTACCCCAATAAACAACACTACTTTGCCGAAATGTTTAAATTGAAAATATTACATAAGCCAATTTTACAGCATTTAAAAACGTTTGCAGAACGTTTTTCCTTCTACAGAAGGACACAGATGCCGCATGCGCCTCCGAACCGCAGTTGCCATACTCCTATTTATAAAACAGTATGGTAAATCAAATGTAAGCATTCTGACTCCAAAGGTGGGGTCACGCGGCCACCCTGGTAGGAGGCCGCGAGGGTACTGCAGAGGTGGGGCCGCTGGGAGGTCATGAAAAAAAATATATATATCATATATATATAATTATTTAATAGTTAAATTTATAATGTTTTGTTTTAATATTAAAAATATTTAGGTTCATAATATTTGACTTGAATAATACCCACTGTAATCATTTTTGTATTACACGTTTGTAGCAGAGGCTATTTCCACCCAAAATATAATAACCATACATGCGCCACATCTTAATGTTGTCTTCTTGGTTATTATTTTGGGAGCCACACTCAAGGACCCGACAGATTTTTACGGGGGCCTCGGTGTTACACGAGTTTGGGAATGGCTGGCAGTAGAGGATCAGGATATGTGCAGTTTTCACCAATAAAATCAAATTCAATAAGTCTACATTCCAAGAGGTAATGAACATGTCTCAGAGTAGAGGGAGGTGGAACCAAGACAACAACTATTGTTTTGTTACAGGGACTAGAATTGATCTAAAAGACAGGAAATTACTATTGTCGCCATTTACCGCTTAGACTCTAAATCCGTCTAATTATGTCACAACATATTACTTTTGGGCTCACACATGAACTTTTTAATCAATGCAAAATGTCGTATCCGAGCTTTATTTAGGGCGTTTAATCGCGCGTTCAAGAGGATATTGTAGACGGCGGACTGTTTCCTGCAGCATGTAATTATAGGTGCACGAGATTACTCAAGACACGCATGGGTCCTGTGCGCGTTTATGGGGTGGGTACAGGGCCCACGTAGAGGCTGCACACGCTCACCACAACACGTGGAAGCGGCTGCGAGAGGCAGATGAGGTCCAGCCGCTCGCAGCCGCTCCACCGTGTTGTGGTGAGCGTGCAAGCCACAACGGTGCCATTTACCCCCACCCATATAACGCGCACTGGACCATGCGTGTGTCCTTTGAGTAATCCGTGCACGAACCAATAAATACACTGCTGGCAGGAAACAGTCCGCTCTCCCCTCTCCTACTTGAAGTGGAGCGATTACACCCCCAAATAAAGCTCGATACCTACTTTTGCATTGAATAAAAAGTTCAAGTTTTGAGCCCAAAAGTAATATGTTGTACGAACAAAAAAGGACAGATTAAGAGCCAGCAAATGGCTAGACCCAATATGTATTTCAGTCCTTTTTTGACCAATTCTCATCCCTGTAACAAACCAAAGTGTTTTTCTGTGTCCCACCTCCCTCACTCTGAGACATGTACATTACCCTCTTGTAATGTAGACTATTGCCATATTTTATTTATTGTTGAAACTGCACAAACCTGATCCTCTACAGCAGGCACCATTCCGCAAACTCAGTAACACCGAGGCCCCTTAATCATCTGACAGGGTCTGCTACTGAGGCCACCCCAAAATAATCACCCAAAGAAGACAACATCAAGAAAGGCTCTTCTGGTTATTTTATTTTGGGAAATATGCCTCATGCTGACAAACATGTGGTAATACAACAAATGAATTACATGGATTATTCACGTCAAATAATGAACACAAAATTTTAATACTTACAAACAAAAACATTATAAATTTAACATTAAATAATTATATATATAAATATAATAAATTTTTTTGTTATGACTCCCGCGGCCCGCCCTGCAAGTACCCCTCGCGGCCCACCAGGGGGCCGCGGACCCTCACTTTATGGAGACACACTGCTCTACATTTGCTTCCACATACTGTATAAACTATGAGTCGCAACCTGCGGTTTCTTTTTCATTTGTTTCCCCGGAGGCGCATGCGTCTCTTCCTTCTGTAAGAAGGAAAAACGTTCTACAATTCTTTTAAATCTGTAAAATTGTGCATACCGTAATTTCAATTTAAACATTTCCGTCAACAGTAGTGCGTCAATCCTGCGACGTAGGCCCGCGTCCCGGACGCCGCTGTTGTAAACAAAACCGGCGTGAGAGGCAACATAGACAGAGTGCGCATCCCAAAGCTAAAAGAGAGAAGAAGTCCGATAAGAAAGCCTGGACTCAGAAAGAAAATTATCATTTGCTTTCAGTCACTGCGGAAGGCCTGCATCATGTTTTCGATGTAAGAGAAGTTACCTAAGAGATAAATTGTATTTGAGTGCTTATGTAACTACAAACATGGCCGCTCCGGGTGGAGTTAACCTGTGTGTGCACCTGGATGGGGGCGTGGTCAAAAGCGCCTCATTTGCATTTAAAGAGACAGCACCAAAACAGGTTGCTTCTCGACGCACCACACAGAACAGGGTAGAAGACAAGTCCAGTGGCGCTACAAATATTGAGACTTCAGACCCAGCATGCAGTTACCTTTAAAAATAGATTATGCCACAAATTGATGATTTAGATGTAAAAATCAATTATTTGAAACACACGATATGGTCAACATTAAGTCCAAATAAGAGTCAATTTAACATATAATAATCATTCTTATTGGTGGAGACAAAACCACCAAAATCTAACCAACATGATGTTCGAAACCTCCAACTTGTTAAGTATCAGAAAGAAACATTATAACCACAGTAAGCACGAAATAAAATGCACAAAATAGGCACATGAACAGATTAGAAGAAACGAGTGAATGCAGTTCAGGATTCAATCTTCTGACTGTCACCTTTCAAACATCGGCACAAACGCAATTGCCTCATCAGAGTTATCAAATACACGTCAGTTTCCCGCGACTGTTCATAAATCCCATTTTAATCACAATAATAATTTGACCTGAGAACATGAGAGAAGCGGAATTTTTACCACATGGATTTTTAGTAAAACATAAATAAGAAGAATACATTAAGTTTAAAGCACACACAAATATGTTTATTTTTTCAAGTCCAACAGACCAGTGAAAGTTTTGCCTTTAAGATGCGATACCATATTTAGAAATACTACTCCATCCACATGGCCAACCAACGGTCTGATTTTATTCTGGTTTTAGACTTGTTATTCTGGTTTAATCTGGTTTATCAGGTTTAGTCATGGTTTATTCCCTGTCTAGTCTGTTCACTAGTCTGGTAGTCGGGTTAGTCTGGTTTAGTCTGGTTTGGTCTGATTTGGTACCTGGTTTAGTCTGTTTATACTGTTTAGTCTGGTTTAGTCCTGGTTTAGTCAGGTTTAGTCTGTGTTTAGTCTGCAGTGAGCACATGGTCCTTTCATCTCCAACTGTAATACCCAGTTATTATAATATATCCATGGTTTCATGTTCGACTGGGTCAGCACTAGATCATATAACGGAATCAGGACGGAAGCGAAGTAAATATTACAAATACCTATTAATCTAAACTTAACGCATCGGCCATTCCCATAAAATAACCCCACCCAGCCTTAAACCCAAACCATAACCATCTTCACTCAGACGCCTAAAATTAACCAGTCACCACTATAGGCCATATAAGTCTAAAACTAATTCGAACGTAATCGAGTGTTACTAATCCGGTATTCGTCCCCGATTCCGTAATATGAACTTAGTGCCGACCCATGTTCCAGTGGTTTGTTGACAGTTTTTGGTGCTTCAGTATATCGGTCGACAGAAACTCCTGCCAGTGAGAAATGTTCCGCGGTGGCAAAACTAAATACGATTAAAAAGCGCTCATTATTTTAACGCACACATTTATGTGTAATTAATTAATCTTAATGACTTTTAAAGTCCCGGCCCCTCGAGCCTTACACACAGTTCTATCTTTGAATACCATGAAAGTGGTACAAAAAGTGAGAAACTATTAGAACAAAATATAAACATGAGCACAAAAGACATTCACAGTAAAGAGAATTGTGTGAATCAATTATAATCATTAAAGTGTGTTTTCAGTTTCATATGGAAACACTTTTAGGTGTGTAGTGTTTATCTGGCCGTGAAACTGACCTGAGTGTCTCCAGTCCGAAAGGAACAGTCTTGGACTCAGTAGAAAACCACACAGATCAGAACAAACTTTTATATGGGGCAGAATCAGACAGATCGATCAGCACTCAGGTCTGAATGTGAGAAAGTGAGGGGTGGACTCCAAAGCTGAGCCACAGGAGAACACTGATCATCTGACAAACCACAGTATCCACAACCTGAAATAAAGAAAACATGAAGTAATGAGCAATCGTGATCTTATAGACTACATAACAAGCAGAGGAAATGCACAGTTGCTTTGATATTCTGAGACTGCACCTGTTCCATAAGTATAAGAATGATCCACACTGTCATAGATTACACATCCGAGTACAAAGCACAGTACGTCATCCTTTAAGATATATAAACCCATATGAGCACACACCAGAGAACACAAGAGTCCAAAAGCATAGGGACAGGATTCGAACCAACGACCACTTCTAAATAAATGACCTGAAGTCCACAGCGCGGCTCAGGTTCATGACCACTAGCTGCTGTGGACCCATTCAGGCCTAAATCTAGAAGGCCTCAGATCACTACTTGACCATTTTTACAGGAATAAACTGAAATGTTTACACAGTGGATGCAATGTTCATGAAACACCCCTTATGAGAAATGAAATATAGTAATGAAGAAGACAAACAACTTAATATTATATAAGTCTCTAGAATTACATACACCACACTGCGGCAGAATATTAAAGGCTATATTGTGAATAAACACATTTAAAAAGTGACTATAGTTGTGACGTCCCAACAACAGAAAAGGTATACCCTGATGTTGTCTTCACAGCAGTGTCTTATTAAAATAACGTTACTACAGCCTTATGCCAAGTAAGATGATTTTCCTTCCAGACCCTTAAGCTCCGCCCACTTCCAAGCTCTAAACATCTTGATAAACAAGAACCACGTTAGTGGCTAAACTGTAATGATGTGAATAATAACATTATGGTTCATTTTTAACCGGTGCTTGCTCCCTCTGTGTCATCAGGAGGAACTTGCTCCCCCCAGTTTTATGGGACGATACACCTCTCTCACCAACATGAGGATCCCTGAGGTTAAATGAAGACACTCACCTGAGAGAGGAGAGCTCACAGAGACTCCGCATGTCCAGCACACAGCACCACACACTTGAGTCACTCATTCATTACGACTCAGATCCAGTTCAGTGAGAAGGAGGGGCGAACTCAGCGCTGATGCACCACTTCACAGTCGGGTCTCTGAGAGTCACATCACACAACTGGAAAACAGACGTTAGATTTAAATATTTGTAGATATCACTGATCAGGACTTGAAGCAGTTTGTGAGGACGGACCGAGCCTTCCGGCAGTTCCACACACAGCAGGATCAGTCTCCTACAACCTTTCAGCATCCGTTTGTACTTCATTTGGACTTTCCAGTATCCTCCAGGACCTGGTCTGACATCTGCAGTATGTGTAAGGCCAGAGCAGAGCACTGGAACACAGACAGTTCGTCTGCTGAGTCCCAATCCAGACTTCAGGAGAAGCTGGATCACTGCAGAGAGACTGGTCCTTCATCTCCATCAGACAGTGGAAGATGATGATGCTTCTGTCTGTGAAGACTCCTCCTCTGAGCTCATCTCTTTGAGGATATTCAATGACTTTGTGGCTTTTCTGACTGTTCCACTGGATTAAACAGCAGATCCTTTTAAAAATTCACTGGTTGCGTCCAGACTGAGGGCCAAGAAGGAAGCAACACAATGACAGGTCCAGCGACCGTATTGAACCACTCAGGGATTTATCAAGAGGACTATCTGATAACCTCACTGGCACTTAACTTTGTCTGAGTCTTTCACAGAGAAACCTTCTTACAACGTCTTGCATGTCACTTCCAAAGCATGCAACCAGGTAAACCGCTGAGTCCCCCCCCCACCCCCCCACCCCCTCCCCCCCCCCCACCCCCCATAACTCCTGGACACTCAGGTTGGACGAAGCTGTATACAGATGGTTGAAGACAACACTTTCTTGTTTGAAGATCCTGTACAGAGTCCTGAGTAGACGAGGCCTCCCGGTCAGGTCCAGTTCCCACCTGCTCCAGGTCTTCCTGTAGAACATTATGTTCCTTTGCAGCAGATTTCAAAGCCAGTCTGCCCAGCTTTCAGGAGGATGTCTGGCTTCTGTCGACACCACTGTTTGGATCTTGTTCCAGCTTCGAACCTGACCAGACCAAAACTGCTTTTTCTCATGAACGGGCCTCAGGTCTCGGATGGTAATTTCACAATCTGTATGGTCGGCACCAATAGGAAGGACACAGCGTACAAGTCGCAGAGAGTCTGGGGGCAGCGCTGCCCACCGGCCTTTCAGATGCGGTTCTCACATGTGGTCCAGGACGGTGCGGTGCATCCAGCCAGAAGAAGGGATCTGACACCATGATTGGAGCTGCGGAGCTTCTGATTGCGAGGACAGGACTGTCTTACAGTGCCTCTTCATCTGTGAAACCTCTCCTGAAGTATGCTCCTTCGTGACGCTCAGTGATGAAGCCTCTGACCTTCTGTGCCTCTGTGCACACTCTGTGCTGTGGATCTGATGGCTGCTGCACTGGTCTGAGGTGTATCCATATAAGGGCAGTAGTAAGAGCAAGTGCCTCTGATGCGGTTCACTATCAGCACACTGACGTCTAGCTCTGAGTTGACCTCAGAGATGCGAGCTCACAATTCAAAGTCCAGACCCAGTCTGCTCTCGTCCAGGCCGTCCCTAAGATGAAGAGGAGTTAGAGACGGACAGTGAGAGTGGGAGAGAGAGTCTGTGGACACAAAGAACATGACAGTTACCAAGTCATACAGATGAACTGCAAGCATTTCTGACAGGAAAGAACAAAGTGAAATACAGTTTGACACCAGGAAGAAGGTGTTCTTTTTTCACGATTTATTAGTTACTGATACAACGCCATCAGCACAGGCTGGGAGAAGTTCCTCAGTTGTGTTAAACACTATATAAATGTTTGAAAGAAAACATTGCTGTGAACTGGACTGAAACAGAAGATAAAGCACCTGTTTTTCCAAGCGCTGATTGGAACACTTGTATGAGCTTGCATCAGACTGTAGACGCTGCCCTTTCCACCTCCCCCACCACCACCCCCACCTCCACCACCACCACCCCCTCCACACCACCACCCCTCCTCCACACCACCACCTCCCCCCCACCACCCCCTCCTCCACATCACCCCCTCCTCCACATCACCACCCCTCCACCACCCACCTCCTCCACACCACCACCTCCTCCACACCACCCCTCCTCCACCCCACCACCACCTCCACACCACCACCTCCTCCACATCACCCCTCCTCCACCTCCCCCACACCACCACCTCCTCCACATCACCCCTCCCCCACACCACCACCTCCCCACCACCCCACCTCCTCCACACCACCACCTCCTCCACACCACCACCTCCTCCACACCACCACCTCCTCCACCTCACCACCTCCCCCACACCACCACCTCCTCCACACCACCACCCCTCCACTCCACCCCCACCCCCCCCTCCACCACCCCCCCCCCACCTCACCACCCCCTCCAACTCCTCCACCTCCCACAACACCCCCACCTCCCCACCCACCCCCCACCACCCATCCCCCCCCCACCCCATCCCCAACTCCTCCACCCCACCCCCCTCCTCCCCATCCCCCACCACCACCCCCTACCTCCACCTCCTCCACCTCCCCACCACCACCACCACCCCTCCACCCACCCACACCCCCACCACCACCTCCTCCTCCACCCCCCCCCCTTACCACCTCCCCCACCCCCCCGACCACCCCACCACCTCCCCCCCAACCCACCACCTCACCCCCACCACCTCCCACTCCCCACCACCATCCCCACCCCCTCCACATCACCCACCCCCCCCTCCACCATCCACCCCCCCACATCCCACCACCCCCTCCTCCCACCACCACCCACTCCCACCCACCACCCTACCTCCACCAATCCACCCTCCCCACACCTACCCCTCCACCCACCACCACCCCTCCCCCCACCACCTCCCCACCCCCCCCCTCCACCCCCCCCCCCCCCTCCACCACCACCTCCCCCCCCACCTCCCCCCACCACCCCCTCCACCCCCACCACCCCCTCCACACCACCACCCCCCCCCACCACCACCTCCCCTCCCACCCACCACCACCCTCCCCCCACACCCCCCCCCCCCACCTCCCCCTCCCTCCCCACCACCCCCCACCCCACCCCACCACCCCACCCCCACCATCCCCCACCCCCCCCCCCCTACCCCCACCCCCCCCACCACCACCCTCCCCCAACCACCACCCCCTCCCCCCCACCACCTACCACCACCCCCCCTCCACCCCCACCCCCCCCCACCACCCCCCTCCACACCACCCCCTCCCCACACCACCACCTCCCCCAACCCCCCCCACCCACCCACCCCCTCCCCACTCTCCCCCTCCCCACACCCCCACCCATCCCCCCACCACCCCCCCCACCACCCCCACCCCCCACCCCACCCCCCCCCCCAACCACCCCACCCCCCCACCCCACCCCATCCCCCCCCCACCCCCTCCCCCACCTCCACCCCCACCACCACCACCCCCCCACCCCACCACCCCCCTCCAACCCACTCCCCCCCACCACATCCACCACCCACCCCACCACCCCACCACCACCACCACCCCACCCCCCCCCCACCACCCCCTCCCCACACCCCACCGTCCCCACCACCACCCCCACCACCACACCACCACCCCCCCCACCCCACCTACCACCACCACCCCCACCCCCCCCCACCACCCCCCCCCCCACCACCCCAACCCCTCCCCACCCCCACCCCCACCTCCTCCACACCACCACCCCCCCCCCACCACCACCACCTCCCCCACCCATCCCCCTCCTCCTCCACCATCCCCACCTCCTCACACCACCACCCCCCCACACCCACCTCCTCCCCCTCCCCCACCACCCTCCTCCCTCCACCCTCCTGCCTACCACACCACCACCCTCCTCCCACCCACCCACCCCTCCACACTCACCCCCTCCCCCTACCACCCCCACCCCCCCACACTCCCCCACACCTCCCCTCCATCCACCACCCCACCTCCCCCTCCACACCACGCACGTCCTCCCCCACACCCCCCCCACCCCCTCCACCCCTCCACCCCACCACCACCCCCCCCCCCGCCCATCACCACCTCCCCCACCACCCTCCTCCACATCCCCACCAACTCCTCCCCCACACCACCTCCTCCTCCTCCACCACCACCCCTCCACACCACCACCACCCCAACTCCACCACCACCTCCTTCCCACCACCACCCCCCACCACCACCCCAACCCCCTCCACCACCCCCCCCACCTCCCCCCACCTCCTCCCCCACCTCCCCCCACCCCACCACCCCCACCTCCACCCCCACCCCCTCCACCTCCACCACCCCCTCCCCACCACCACCACCCCCCCCACCTCCCCCCACCTCCCCACCTCCACCTCCTCCACCCCCCCTCCCCACACCCCACCACCTCCACCCGACCTCCACCTCCACACCCACCACCTCCACCACTCCACTCCCACCCACCTCACCCCCTCCTCCCCCACTCCACCACCTCACCACCTCCCCCCCACCTCCCCCACCCCCCACCTCCCCCACACCCCCACCCCCTCATCACACCACCTCCTCCCCCACACCCACCACCTCCACCCACATCCCCCCCCTCCACCCCAACACCACCACCTCCACCTTCACCCCCACCACCTCCACCCCCCCCTCCTCCACCCCACCCCCCCCCACCCACCTCCACCACCACCTCCTACCCCACCCCACCTCCACCCCCCCACCCCCCTCCACCTCCCACCCCCCCACCCCCCTCCACCCCCTCCCCCTCCACCCCCCCCCACCCCACCACCTCCACCCCCCACCACCCCACCACCCCCTCCCCCCCACCACCCACCTTCCACCCCTCCCCACCTCCTCCCACATCACCACCCCTCCCATCACCCCCCCCTCCACCCACCACCCCCTCCTCCCCCCCACCACCACCCCCACACCACCACCCCTCCACACCACCTCCCCCCACCTCCCCCCTCACCCCGCCCCACTCCCCCCCCACCACCACCACCTCCTCCACCACCCCTCCTCCACCCACCACCACCACCACCCCTCCACCACATCCCACACCTCCTCCTCCACCACCACCCACCTCCAACACCCCCTCCCACCTCCCCACCACCACCCCTCCACCCACACCCCCACCTCCCACCCCACCACCCTCCCCACACCACCACCCCCCCCCCCCTCCCCACCCCCCCCACCACCACCCCACTCCTCCCCCACCCACCCCCCCACCACCACCCACACCACCCCCACCCACCCACCTCCTCCACATCACCACCACCTCCCCACCCCCACCACCACCAACCCACCTCCACCCACCCCCCCTCTCACACCCACCTCCTCCACTCACCACCCCTCCTCCACACCCACCACCTCCACACTCCACCTCCTCCTCCACATCACCACCTCCTCCCACCACCACCTCCACCCCACACCACCACCTCCACCACCACCTCCTCCTCCACATCACCACCTCCTCCACATCACCACCTCCTCCACCACCATCACCTCCTCCCCACATCACCACCTCCTCCACATCACCACCCTCCTCCACATCCCACCACCTCCACACCACCACCACCTCCTCCACATCACCACCTCCTCCACATCACCTCCTCCTCCACACCCACCACCTCCTCCTCCACATCACCACCTCCTCCCATCACCCCCTCCTCCACATCACCACCTCCTCCACATCACCTCCTCCTCCACACACCTCCTCCTCCACATCACCTCCTCCTCCACATCACCTCCTCCTCCACATCACCTCCTCCTCCACATCACCACCTCCTCCACATCCACCCACCTCCTCCACATCCACCTCCTCCTCCCACATCACCTCCTCCTCCACATCACCACCTCCTCCACATCCACCTCCTCCTCCACATCACCTCCTCCTCCACATCACCACCTCCTCCACACCACCACCTCCTCCACATCACCACCTCCTCCACATCACCACCTCCTCCACATCACCACCTCCTCCACATCACCACCTCCTCCTCCACACCACCACCTCCTCCACATCCACACCTCCTCCTCCACATCACCACCTCCTCCACACCACCACCTCCTCCACATCACCACCTCCTCCTCCACATCACCTCTCCTCCTCCACATCACCACCTCCTCCAAACCACCACCTCCTCCACATCACCACCTCCTCCACATCACCTCCTCCTCCACATCACCACCCCCTCCACATCACCCTCCTCATCCACATCACCACCTCCTCCACACCACCACCTCCTCCACATCACCTCCTCCTCCACATCACCTCCTCCTCCACATCACCACCTCCTCCACACCACCACCTCCTCCACATCACCTCCTCCTCCACATCACCCACCTCCTCCACACCACCACCTCCTCCACATCACCACCTCCTCCACATCACCACCTCCTCCACATCACCACCTCCTCCTCCACACCACCACCTCCTCCACATCACCACCTCCTCCTCCACATCACCACCTCCTCCACACCACCACCTCCTCCACATCACCACCTCCTCCACATCACCACCTCCTCCACATCACCTCCTCCTCCACATCACCACCACCTCCAACACCACCACCTCCTTCACATCACCACCTCCTCCTCCACATCACCACCTCCTCCACACCACCACCTCCTCCACATCACCACCTCCTCCACACCACCACCTCCTCCACATCACCACCTCCTCTCCACATCACCACCTCCTCCACATCACCTCCTCCTCCACATCACCACCACCTCCCACACCACCACCTCCTTCACATCACCACCTCCTCCTCCACATCACCACCTCCTCCACATCACCTCCTCCTCCTCCACATCACCTCCTCCTCCACCACATCACCTCCTCCTCCACATCACCACCACCTCCACATCTCCACCTCCTCCACATCTCCACCTCCTCCACATCACCACCTCCTCCACACCACCACCTCCTCCACATCACCACCTCCTCCACATCACCACCTCCTCCACACCACCACCACCTCCACATCTCCACCTCCTCCACATCACCTCCTCCTCCACATCACCACCTCCTCCACATCACCACCACCTCCACATCTCCACCTCCTCCACATCACCTCCTCCTCCACATCACCACCTCCTCCACATCACCTCCTCCTCCACATCTCCACCTCCTCCTCCACACCACCACCTCCTCCACATCACCTCCTCCTCCACATCACCACCTCCTCCACATCACCACCTCCTCCACATCACCACCACCTCCACCTCCTCCACATCACCACCTCCTCCACATCACCTCCTCCTCCACATCTCCACCTCCTCCTCCACATCACCTCCTCCTCCACATCACCACCACCTCCTCCACATCACCACCACCCCCTCCACATCACCTCCTCCTCCACATCACCTCCTCCACATCACCTCCTCCTCCACATCACCACCTCCTCCACACCACCACCACCTCCACATCTCCACCTCCTCCACATCTCCACCTCCTCCACATCACCTCCTCCTCCACATCACCACCTCCTCCACATCACCACCACCTCCACATCTCCACCTCCTCCACATCACCTCCTCCTCCACATCACCACCTCCTCCACATCACCTCCTCCTCCACATCTCCACCTCCTCCTCCACACCACCACCTCCTCCACATCACCTCCTCCTCCACATCACCACCTCCTCCACATCACCACCTCCTCCACATCACCACCACCTCCACCTCCTCCACATCACCACCTCCTCCACATCACCTCCTCCTCCACATCTCCACCTCCTCCTCCACATCACCTCCTCCTCCACATCACCACCACCTCCTCCACATCACCACCACCCCCTCCACATCACCTCCTCCTCCACATCACCTCCTCCACATCACCTCCTCCACATCACCACCTCCTCCACATCACCTCCTCCTCCACATCACCACCTCCTCCACATCACCACCACCTCCTCCACATCACCACCTTCTCCACACCACCACCTCCTCCACATCACCACCTCCTCCTCCACATCACCACCTCCTCCACACCACCACCTCCTCCACATCACCACCTCCTCCTCCACATCACCACCTCCTCCACATCACCTCCTCCTCCACATCACCACCACCTCCCACACCACCACCTCCTTCACATCACCACCTCCTCCTCCACATCACCTCCTCCTCCTCCACATCACCTCCTCCTCCACATCACCACCACCTCCACATCACCTCCTCCACATCTCCACCTCCTCCACATCACCACCTCCTCCACACCACCACCTCCTCCACATCACCACCTCCTCCACATCACCACCTCCTCCACACCACCACCACCTCCACATCACCTCCTCCTCCACATCTCCACCTCCTCCTCCACATCACCACCTCCTCCAAAGCACCACCTCCTCCACACCACCACCACCTCCACATCACCACCCCCTCCACATCACCTCCTCCTCCACATCACGTCCTCCTCCACATCACCTCCTCCTCCACATCACCTCCTCCTCCACATCACCACCTCCTCCACATCACCACCACCTCCTCCACATCACCACCTCCTCCACATCACCTCCTCCTCCACATCACCTCCTCCTCCACATCACCACCTCCTCCACATCACCTCCTCCTCCACATCACCACCTCCTCCACATCACCTCCTCCTCCACATCACCTCCTCCTCCACATCACCTCCTCCTCCACATCACCTCCTCCTCCACATCACCTCCTCCTCCACATCACCACCTCCTCCACACCACCACCTCCTCCACATCACCTCCTCCTCCACATCACCTCCTCCTCCACATCACCACCTCCTCCACATCACCTCCTCCTCCACATCACCTCCTCCTCCACATCACCACCTCCTCCACACCACCACCTCCTCCACATCACCACCTCCTCCACATCACCACCTCCTCCACATCACCACCTCCTCCACATCACCACCTCCTCCTCCACACCACCACCTCCTCCACATCCACACCTCCTCCTCCACATCACCACCTCCTCCACACCACCACCTCCTCCACATCACCACCTCCTCCACATCACCTCCTCCTCCACATCACCACCACCTCCCACACCACCACCTCCTTCACATCACCACCTCCTCCACATCACCACCTCCTCCTCCACACCACCACCTCCTCCACATCACCACCTCCTCCTCCACATCACCACCTCCTCCACACCACCACCTCCTCCACATCACCACCTCCTCCACATCACCTCCTCCTCCACATCACCTCCTCCTCCACATCACCTCCACCTCCACATCACCACCTCCTCCACATCACCTCCTCCTCCACATCACCTCCTCCTCCACATCACCACCTCCTCCACACCACCACCTCCTCCACATCACCACCACCTCCACATCTCCACCTCCTCCTCCACACCACCACCACCTCCTCCACATCACCACCTCCTCCTCCACATCACCACCTCCTCCACATCACCACCTCCTCCTCCACATCACCACCTCCTCCACACCACCACCTCCTCCACATCTCCACCTCCTCCACATCACCTCCTCCTCCACATCACCACCTCCTCCACATCACCACCACCTCCACATCACCACCTCCTCCACATCACCTCCTCCTCCACATCACCACCACCTCCACATCTCCACCTCCTCCACATCTCCACCTCCTCCACATCACCTCCTCCTCCACATCACCACCTCCTCCACATCACCTCCTCCTCCACATCACCACCTCCTCCTCCACACCACCACCTCCTCCACATCACCTCCTCCTCCACATCACCACCTCCTCCACATCACCACCACCTCCACCTCCTCCACATCACCACCTCCTCCACATCACCTCCTCCTCCACATCTCCACCTCCTCCTCCACATCACCTCCTCCTCCACATCACCACCACCTCCTCCACATCACCACCACCCCCTCCACATCACCTCCTCCTCCACATCACCTCCTCCACATCACCTCCTCCTCCACATCACCACCTCCTCCACATCACCTCCTCCTCCACATCACCACCTCCTCCACATCACCACCACCTCCTCCACATCACCACCTCCTCCACACCACCACCTCCTCCACATCACCACCTCCTCCTCCACATCACCACCTCCTCCACACCACCACCTCCTCCACATCACCACCTCCTCCTCCACATCACCACCTCCTCCACATCACCTCCTCCTCCACATCACCACCACCTCCCACACCACCACCTCCTTCACATCACCACCTCCTCCTCCACATCACCTCCTCCACATCACCTCCTCCTCCACATCACCACCACCTCCACATCACCTCCTCCTCCACATCACCACCTCCTCCACATCACCACCTCCTCCACACCACCACCTCCTCCACATCACCACCTCCTCCACATCACCACCTCCTCCACACCACCACCACCTCCACATCACCTCCTCCTCCACATCTCCACCTCCTCCTCCACATCACCACCTCCTCCAAAGCACCACCTCCTCCACACCACCACCACCTCCACATCACCACCCCCTCCACATCACCAGCCCCTCCACATCACCTCCTCCTCCACATCACGTCCTCCTCCACATCACCTCCTCCTCCACATCACCTCCTCCTCCACATCACCACCTCCTCCACATCACCACCACCTCCTCCACATCACCACCTCCTCCACATCACCTCCTCCTCCACATCACCTCCTCCTCCACATCACCACCTCCTCCACATCACCTCCTCCTCCACATCACCACCTCCTCCACATCACCTCCTCCTCCACATCACCTCCTCCTCCACATCACCTCCTCCTCCACATCACCTCCTCCTCCACATCACCTCCTCCTCCACATCACCACCTCCTCCACACCACCACCTCCTCCACATCACCTCCTCCTCCACATCACCTCCTCCTCCACATCACCACCTCCTCCACATCACCTCCTCCTCCACATCACCTCCTCCTCCACATCACCACCTCCTCCACACCACCACCTCCTCCACATCACCACCTCCTCCACATCACCACCTCCTCCACATCACCACCTCCTCCACATCACCACCTCCTCCTCCACACCACCACCTCCTCCACATCCACACCTCCTCCTCCACATCACCACCTCCTCCACACCACCACCTCCTCCACATCACCACCTCCTCCACATCACCTCCTCCTCCACATCACCACCACCTCCCACACCACCACCTCCTTCACATCACCACCTCCTCCACATCACCACCTCCTCCTCCACACCACCACCTCCTCCACATCACCACCTCCTCCTCCACATCACCACCTCCTCCACACCACCACCTCCTCCACATCACCACCTCCTCCACATCACCTCCTCCTCCACATCACCTCCTCCTCCACATCACCTCCACCTCCACATCACCACCTCCTCCACATCACCTCCTCCTCCACATCACCTCCTCCTCCACATCACCACCTCCTCCACACCACCACCTCCTCCACATCACCACCACCTCCACATCTCCACCTCCTCCTCCACACCACCACCTCCTCCACATCACCACCTCCTCCACACCACCACCTCCTCCACATCACCACCTCCTCCACATCACCACCTCCTCCACATCACCACCTCCTCCTCCACACCACCTCCTCCTCCACATCACCACCTCCTCCTCCACATCACCTCCTCCTCCACATCACCACCTCCTCCACATCACCACCACCTCCTCCACATCACCACCACCTCCTCCACATCACCACCTCCTCCTCCACATCACCTCCTCCTCCACATCACCACCTCCTCCACATCACCTCCTCCTCCACATCACCTCCTCCTCCACATCACCACCTCCTCCAAACCACCACCTCCTCCACATCACCACCTCCTCCACATCACCTCCTCCTCCACATCACCACCCCCTCCACATCACCTCTCTCCACATCACCTCCTCCTCCACATCACCACCTCCTCCACACCACCACCTCCTCCACATCACCTCCTCCTCCACATCACCTCCTCCTCCACATCACCACCTCCTCCACACCACCACCTCCTCCACATCACCTCCTCCTCCACATCACCACCTCCTCCACACCACCACCTCCTCCACATCACCACCTCCTCCACATCACCACCTCCTCCACATCACCACCTCCTCCTCCACACCACCACCTCCTCCACATCACCACCTCCTCCTCCACATCACCACCTCCTCCACACCACCACCTCCTCCACATCACCACCTCCTCCACATCACCACCTCCTCCACATCACCACCACCTCCAACACCACCACCTCCTTCACATCACCACCTCCTCCTCCACATCACCACCTCCTCCACACCACCACCTCCTCCACATCACCACCTCCTCCACATCACCACCTCCTCCACATCACCACCTCCTCCACATCACCACCTCCTTCTCCACATCACCTCCTCCTCCACATCACCTCCTCCTCCACATCACCACCTCCTCCACACCACCACCTCCTCCACATCACCACCTCCTCCACATCTCCACCTCCTCCACATCACCACCTCCTCCACACCACCTCCTCCACACCACCACCTCCTCCACATCACCTCCTCCTCCACATCACCTCCTCCTCCACATCACCTCCTCCTCCACATCACCACCCCCTCCACATCACCATCACCTCCTCCTCCACATCACCTCCTCCTCCACATCACCACCTCCTCCACATCACCACCTCCTCCACATCACCACCTCCTCCACATCACCTCCTCCTCCACATCACCTCCTCCTTCACATCACCACCTCCTCCACATCTCCACCTCCTCCACATCACCACCTCCTCCACACCACCTCCTCCACATCACCACCTCCTCCACATCACCTCCTCCTCCACATCACCTCCTCCTCCACATCACCACCTCCTCCACATCTCCACCTCCTCCACATCACCACCTCCTCCACACCACCTCCTCCACATCACCACCTCCTCCACACCACCTCCTCCACATCACCACCTCCTCCACATCACCACCTCCTCCACATCACCTCCTCCTCCACATCACCTCCTCCTCCACATCACCTCCTCCTCCACATCACCACCTCCTCCACATCACCACCTCCTCCACATCACCACCTCCTCCACATCACCTCCTCCTCCACATCACCTCCTCCTCCACATCACCTCCTCCTCCACATCACCTCCTCCTCCACATCACCACCTCCTCCACATCACCACCCCCTCCACATTACCACCTCCTCCACATCACCTCCTCCTCCACATCACCACCTCCTCCACATCACCTCCTCCTCCACATCACCTCCTCCTCCACATCACCTCCTCCTCCACATCACCACCTCCACATCACCTCCTCCTCCACATCACCTCTTACAATACAATACAATACAATTTATTCTTGTATAGCCCTAGGTCACAACAGAAGTCATCTCAGAGGACTTAACAAAACCATTGAAATCACCAACACAGGTCAGAAAATCAACAGTTAAAACACATGAAGAATATAAAGCACACACAGAAGAAAATGTCCATACATGTTGTAGAATGCTAAAGTGTCCTGATCATCACCAATCCTTTCTGTTGGACACTAACTGTCCAACAAGACCCTCCTGCATCGACAAGGAACAACTCTTAAAAAACCCAGTGGGAAAAAGTGAGAAACCTTGGGGAGAACTAGGGAAACCCACAGGGAGGGAGACCCATATGAGAAAGGGATCCGCTCCTCCGGACGGACAGGCTAATGATCTAGGACCTAAGCTAGCTACAGAACGTGGACCAGTGGACGCTGAACGTGGACAGGTCCGGTGCAGGACTGAAGCACTCCCAGGCGGGTCGGGCGGGGCAGTCCGCAGGTGTAGATGGAAGAGGCCAGGCTCAGAGATCCCGTCATCGTACCATGAAACAGACAATGGGACAACGGGTGAATAGCAATGAACAAACTACAGTCAGAATCCTAAAAATGCTAAACAGATAAAGTAGGAAGGAGGAGAGGATAGTGCTCAAGTTACCATACTTCTCCAGCAGGGGGCTCCCTATGCAGCTTGACTAACACTCTGAGGAGTTTAACCTTCTCCGAGTCTTACCTTCCTAGCCATATGCTAAACTAAAGAGGACTGTTTTAAACCTAGCCTTGAATAAAGAATAACATACAGCATAATATATAACATAATATACAACATAACACAATACATTATTGAATAATATATAACATAATATATAACATAATACAGCATATATATATAATATATACACTACATATTATATATTACCTAATTATATGCTAAATTAAAGTAAAGTGCTTTAAGCCTGGCCTTGAATGTGGAGACCGTATCTGCTTCCTTAACATAAATGGGAAGCTGATTCCACAGTAAAGGAGCTTGGTAGCTAAATGCTCTGCCACCAACAGTGACCTTTGAGACCTTAGGGACCACCAGACGTCTGGCGTTTTGTGAGCGCAACGCTCGACCTGGTTGATACGACACTAACGTGTCTTGGAGATAAGAAGGAGCCAAGCCATTTATGGCTTTATATGTTAAGAGTAGGATTTTAAACTTTATTCTGTACTCCACAGGGAGCCAGTGGAGTGATTTTAACACCGGAGTTATGTGCTCCCTCCTTTTGGTACCTGTTAAGATCCTAGCTGCTGTATTCTGAACGAGCTGGAAGCTCTTCAAAGAGGCTTTAGGGCACGCTGCCAGTAAAGCGTTACAGTAGTCGAGCCTTGAGGTGACAAACGCGTGAATGAGTTTTTCCGCGTCACTTTTAGGAAGGAAATTCCTAATTTTAGCGATGTTCCGTAAGTGGAAGTACGCCGTTTTAGTTGCTTGGCTTATATAAGCCTTGAAGGAGAGTTCTTGGTCAAAAATGACTCCAAGATTCCTCACAGTGTTACTGGGTATTATACTGACATTATCGAGAGTAACCATCTGGTTAGTGAGGGAGTCACGCAGGCGCTTCGGACCGAGTAGGATCACTTCTGTCTTCTCCGGGTTGAGAAGTAGGAAGTTAAGAGTCATCCACATTTTAAGGTCCTTTATGCAGGCACTGAGCTTTTCTAGCTGATCTGTCTGATTAGGCTTCATCGACAGATAAAGCTGTGTGTCATCTGCATAGCAGTGGAAATTAATTCCATGCTTTTTAATAATGTTTCCCAGTGGCAGCATGTAGAGAGTAAAAAGAATCGGTCCGAGTACCGAACCCTGCGGCACACCGAATTCCACTCCAGAATAAGGCGACGAGTCCTGATTCACATTGACGAAGTGATATCGATCTGATAAATAGGATTTAAACCAGCCAAGGGCTGTTCCTCTAAGACCTATATCACATTCTAGCCTCTGCAGTAGAATGCTGTGGTCTATTGTGTCAAATGCAGCACTAAGGTCCAGTAGGACCAGCACTGACACTTGTCCATTATCGGCAGCTAGTAGTAAGTCACTTGTGACTTTGACTAGTGCCGTTTCAGTGCTATGATGAGCTCTGAATCCTGATTGAAAGACTTCAAACATATCATTTTCCTGCAGGTGGCAGCGGAGCTGCTCAGCTATAAGTTTTTCCAGGATTTTAGATATAAAAGTGAGGTTCGAGATCGGTCTGTAGTTTGTAAGTATTTCTGGGTCCAGGTTTGTTTTCTTCAGAAGGGGTTTGATTACCGCGGTTTTAAAAGCTTGTGGGACATAGCCACATTGTATGGATGCGTTTATTATATTTACGATAGGCTCAATTATCAAAGGAAGTATGTCTTTGAAGAGCCATGTCGGGACTGCGTCTAACATGCAAGTTGAGGCTTTTGAGGATGTGACCACAGAGATCACCTCTGCTTGGCTCACAGCCATGAATTTATTAAGGCCCACTGAAGAGTCTAAGTGGGAAGTCACGTATGCCGCTTCAGCCTGTCCACCACTAACAGCAGGAGTAACCTCCTCCAGTTTGTCACGGATGGATGTAATTTTATTATTAAAGAAGTGGAGAAAGTCGACACTGCTCAGTGAGCTTGGAATTTTAGGCTCGATTGCGCTATGGCAGTTTGTGAGTTTAGCGACGGTGCCAAACAAAAATCTACTGTTGTTTTTATTCGCTTCTATTAAAGTTGAATAGTATTGAGTTCGAGCCCCGCGAAGGGCATTCTTGTAATTTCGGAGACCTGCTTTCCACTCCCTGTGGACAGGCTCCGAGTGGGAGTGGCGATATAGCCTCTCCAATTTTCTGACGTCCTGTTTTAAAGTGTGGAGTTGAACACTGTACCAAGGCGACGATGATCTAATCCTAATGGTTTTCTGTTTTAAAGGAGCTGCTGCATTTAATGCAGATTTTAAAGACTCCATAGTGTTGTCCACCGTTTGGTCAATGACTGAGGGACTGCAGCTGCTGTGAACAGGTTCACCTGCAGCAGTATTCAACATAGGCTGTATTAGTTCTTTGAACCTTGTGATAGATTTATCATTTAAGGTTCTTTTCATTATGGTTTTATCTTGCGGGACAGGAAAGTCCTCCAAAGCGAGATCAAACGTGATCAAGAAATGGTCAGACAGCAACGAGCTTTGACGCTGGATGTCAACATTGGAGACATCACAGCCGTAGGTCAGGACAAGGTCCAAGGTGTGGTTATGAATGTGAGTAGGTTCCTCGACATTCTGAGTAAAACCAACACCATCTAGTACGGCGCTGAAAGCTTTGTTTAAGCTGTCAGTGCTGTCGTCCACATGTATATTGAAGTCTCCAGCTATAACTATGTTTTCCCATTCCAAAACTAGGTTTGAAATGAAGTCAGAGAATTCTGTTAGGAACTCGCTGTAAGGACCAGGAGGTCGGTATAAAACTATAAATAGTACTGCTTTTTGTTTTCTCCACCCAGGACAGGTGATTGAAAGTGTTAAGTTTTCAAACGAGTGAAAAGCGTTGTTGGTTTTGGGACTAAGAACCAAGTTGGTGTGTGATATAATCGCAACACCACCGCCGCGACCTGTAGCTCTGGCTTTCTGGTAGTTAACATGCGTCGGAGGAGTGCACTCATTCAATCTAACGTAGTCGTCCTGTTGGAGCCAAGTCTCCGAGAGCGCAAACAGATCCAAGCCCTTGTCTATAATAAGTTCGTTTATGAGAAGCGATTTAGACGAGATTGATCTGACGTTCATTAAACCACATTTAACAACCCTACCGCTAGAACTATTTCTGTCTGTCTGAACTTTTATTAAGTTACTGTGTCTGACACCTAGGTCAGATTTCCTCGCATATAGTGCTTTAGACTTCAAGCGGGGAACACACACAGTTTCCATCTGACTAGCCTCTGAGGCTAGTAACTGAACAGATGGGGGCTCAGAGGTTGTGGCAGAGCAGCTCTGCACCCGGGCCTCAGTTCTGCATCGTCATTTGAGCCGAGCAGAACAGTTTAGAGCCAGGGCCAAATTCTTAGCCAAAAGGGATGTACCCGCCAACATTGGGTGGATATCATCCGAGCGGATGAGACCGGGCTTTCCCCAAAAGGCACTCACATTGTCAACATGAACAACACCACTTCGAGGGCACCAGCCAGACAGCCAGCGGTTGAAAGCCGAGTGTCTGCTGAATGCTTCTGCACTGCTAGTGCTAGGTAGGGGCCCAGAGAAGATGACAGTGTCGGCCATTGTGCTAGCCAGCTTGCACACCGCGGCGACTTGCAGCTTCAACACCTCGGACTGTTTCCGCCGAACGTCATTACCACCCGCGTGAATAACAATTCGACGGAAACGCTGCTTGTGGGTCATCATGAGCCTCAGATTCCCTTCAATATCACCAAGCCTGGCCCCAGGGAAGCACCGAACAGTGGCTCCTGGGATCTTAACACCTCTAACAATAGAGGAGCCAATTACCAGCGCATCAGCGACTCCATCGGCTCTCTCAGCAGCTCTCTCAGCGGCTCTCTCAGTGGGGCCTTCTTCCCCGCCCGGCCGCGCGGGGGCGCAGCCGGACAGAGCGTCCCAGCGATTGTAAATGCTAACAGGAGGAGGCCCAATGGGGAAACTACCAACAACACGTGGCCCTCTCCGAACAGTCACAAAGCCATCACTATCCTGGTCTTGTCCCAGCTGCGGAGGACGGACTGGGAGGCTAGGCTCGCTAGTTCTCCTCTGCCTTTCCCTAAAGCTGCGCTTTGCTGTCCCTGAGGATACGGCCTGGCTGTAGCTAATGCTAGCGCTAGCTCGAGACTCCAGTGCTCGGAGACGCAGCTCTAACTCACTGACCCTGGATTCCAGAGCTACGACTACACTACACTTCACACATCTATCACTACCCTCAGAGAAGGATCCAGGGTTTAGACTCGCCATATGGCAACTCGAGCAGTAAAGGATTGAGGGAGAGACAGCAGCCGCCATAGTAGCGAGTTAGCGGCTAGGCTAGGCTAAGCTAGGCTAGGCTAAGCTAGTACGGATCCGGGCCCGCACAACAGACTCCGAGACCAGACAAACAACCGCTACCTAAACCTCAGCTACAGTACAGCTGACTCGGAGTGCTTACACAGTTAGCTTGGTGTACAATACGTGGATTTGTAATGTGTTTGTTAGTGCAAACAGAGAGCAGAGTGATAGCAGTCAAGAAACACGCTCACCGGATACAGGAAGTCACGTCTTCCTCCACCCCCTCCACCTCCTCCACATCACCACCTCCTCCACATCACCTCCTCCTCCACAACACCACCTCCTCCACATCACCACCTCCTGCTCCTCTAACTCAGACCGACTGATGGAGAAGCTTCCATTTGAGGAGCTAACAGGAGCCGTTAGCGCTGACCTAATCCCTGCCATTTCAGTCCTGAAACTTGTTCATGATTGACAGCTCTCTTGTAATTATGGAGAGAGACACTGACAGCAGCTTCTCCACCGAGTGCTCTTTAGAGGAGGACTTCTCTCCACCTTCATCACCAGAGGAAGAGGAGGATCATGTGGAGGAGGATCACAATAATAATAATAATAATAATGCATTGGTTTTATACAGCGCTTTTTTGGACAACTCCTACTGTAGCCACAGCTGCCCTGGGGCACACTGACAGAAGCGAGGCAACCAGTCCGTGCCATCAGCCCCTCTGACCACCACCACCCATTCACACACACACCAGACTCATTCTAGCCAATGGGGGTGAAGTGCCTTGCCTAAGGACACAACAGCAGTTTGGCACTTTACAGCCGCAGCCGCCCCACTGTGGCACCTGCTGTTCCCAGAGGTTAAGTGTCTTGCCCAAGGACACAACGACAGCAGTCATCAGTGGGAGTCGGTGGAGAAAGTCTTGAGGTGGGCTCGAAACCCCCGACCCTCTGGTTCCTGAGTTTCTTTTGGATTTTGAGTTGTTTTTACCTTGGACCTTTATTTTACCGTTATCACATCATTATTTTGAATTATCTTGAGTTCTCCTTCTCACCTCGAGACAGATCCGCTGTAAACAAAAGCCGTGTTCCCAAAAAGATCCTCGACTTTTTAGACATGGAGTGGATTTACGGTTTTATTTTTATTGTTGTGAGGTAAGTTTGTTTTTATAATTGGGATGTGTGTATCTGAGGGCGACAGTGGCTCAGTTGGTAGAGCATCAGCCTTTGGGCCTGAAGGTCATTGGTTCGAATCCACCACGAGACCTTCTTCACGACTCCCACTGATGTCTTCTGTCGTTGTGTCCTTGGGCAAGACACTGAAGCTCCCACTGAAAGATCTCAGCTCCTGTGGACTCAGCCCCTTCAGGAGGATCAGTGAGGGGCTGGTGCTATGACTGCCACCCCCCCAGACCCAGAAATGGATTAAGGGGAAGAACATGGATGTATGTGTGTTCCTCTGCCCAGGGATTACAGATGGAAAGAAGCTGCAGATAAACCTGGTACAAATAATCTCTTCTTTTGTAATGTCTTATGGTTTTGTTCATTGTCCCTGTTCTAAACTAAACTATAAACAAACAAGAATAACTATTTAAAACTAACTCCTTTTCAGAACTGACACACACTGTTCAACAAACCAAACAACACCATTCTACCGCAGGCAATATGAATATTCATCAATGTATTTGTATTCCTTGATATTATTCTGGCTCAGACACAACCATCGACTCATCCATGTTTGTTGAATGTAATTGGACTCACAGCATCTGCTCTCTTCGCGGCGATGAAGCCCTGAGCTGCAGGTTTTCACGGTCTCGGCCTCGACAGGAGACGGGAAAAAATGATCCAGACTTTGACAAATGTGGCTTAATAGCAGAAGAAGAAAATAGACACTCTAAAAGGATTCCCCTGCGATGGCAAAGTAGAACCAGAGACAATGTGTTTTCTCTGGTCTCAGGTTGAATCAAAGTATTTTTTGTGTCGCCCTGAATCACAACAGTGGTTTTCTCTGTGTTTCGGAGGTTATGAAACAGCCAATCACAGATCAGAGAAACACACGGTTTAAACACAGGAAATGCAACGATAAAAACACATAGAGCCATTGGTCCATAAGGGACGGGTCATAATAATAATAATAATAAATCAGTTTTATTTAGCGCTTCTCAGGACTCAAAGCCTCTGCCCATCCTTATTAATTCACTCAAACACAGTGGTGACAAGCTGCCACTGTAGCCACAGCTGCCCTGGGGCACATGGACAGGAACGAAGCCACCATTGCATGCCATCTGCCCCTACAACCATTCACACACACACCAGACTGATTCTAACCTGGGTGAAGTGTCTTACCTGAGGACACAACCACAGCACTATATAACCACCGCACCTGAAAAAAATGGTACAATCTACAAAAATAAAAATTGGGCAGACGTGGGCTCGAACCACAAACCTCAAAACGCCAAGATCAGGCTGATCCGGTCATGAGCGCAATCCCAGAGGTCTCCCATCACAGTACTAGCCAGGCCCTGCCCTGCACAGCTTCAGAGGGTGGATGGTATCGGGCTTTCGCATACAAGTTTGCAGATAACCAGTGTCCATAAGTATTAACAGATGTCCATACTGTGTGTTTGTTTCTTCATCTCTTTCACACAGCTTCACTATAAAGTTATTCACGATGAAAACAAAGTCTGCTCGGTTTGAAAAGAGGAGGACAGAAGTTTACTCCTGAATAAAACCAGCCCCACTCTCCACTCAGGCAGAGAGGTCATTTTCACACATTCATTCATTTTCATCCCTTTATTATCCATTTCTGGATCAGGGGGTGGTAATTAGAGCTGCACCCCTTGGTTTAATTGTGGAGACGGCCACACGAAGATCATCCTCCACATTTAGACACAATCTGTAATTGTTTTTAATATATGTCAGTGCAGAGAAAGTCTTTTCGCACAGGTATGTGGAGCCAAACGGCGTCAGTACGTCCACCTTGGATAGCTGTGGATATTCCCTCTCGACTCAGCAAGCGTCTTAGAATTAAAATCTGTCTTTAAAGTGCGGTCTCATGACATGCCGGCGGACAGATGACTTGCGGTGGTGACAGTGAATGGTGATCTTATCCAGTCGTATTGTTCCGGAGCCGTGTCCTCAGAGAAATACTTGTCAAAGTGTTCCAGGAGGGCATGAAGGTGGGTAGTGATAGACCTCTTCACAATGTCAACACTCAGATCATTTTCCTCCATGAATTCTTCCAGCTCAGGAAACATGTCAATCCTGCCCATTTCAACCCGTGCAGTCCAGCGATCCACTTTTCTCTTGAATGCGCAGATTTGATCACTCATTGACATGTTGCTTGTGTTTTCACCTTGCAATGACAGGTTAAGTCCATTCAGTCTGTCAAAAATACACAGACAGATACACTAGCCTTGTTAACCATTCAGGGTCAGTCAGGTCGAGCTGGGACCCATCTCCATCAGAAATAAGCTCACCTCGTCCCGCAGTTCAAACATGCGGCTGAGAACATTTCCCCTTGAAAGCCTCTGACCTCTGACCTCTGTGTGGAGCGGCAGGCCCTCATGCTGCGATCCCAGCTCAGTGCAGAGAGTGGCGAACAGCCCAGTGTTGAGTGGACGCGATTTAATGTAGTCGAGGGGGTTTTACTCACAAGACCTTCTCTGTGGATAATACAGTGCGTGAATTTAATGTGGGGCGCCACTTTTAAGACCCTTGCTTTAGTCCTTTCTTTTTCCCCAGCACCGTCTGTACACACACCGATGCATTCATCCAAAGACAGTCCCTCTTCTTTCAGTTTGTTGTCTAGTTTAGTGAAAATGTCCTCGCCTGTGCATGTTCCCTGCAGCGGGACGCAGAGAAGCAGGTCCTCGTTAAGTTTTCCATCAAAACTATAACGAAAACAAGCAGCTGGGCACAGTTTGATACATCTTTCTTGCCTGTGCAATTAAATATGCCACCTTTTGAAGCCTTTTGAGCTTTAGTTGGGATCGTTGCTTGTTTAATTAGGATTTTCTTTTGGCCTTGCAACTCTTTCTCCTCTCTGCGAAATAAATCTGTCGGTTTAGCAGCAAGAGAGGGGTGCTTAGTTTTCATGTGTCTGAGCATTTTTACAGGCTTTAGGCTTCATGTGCAAGCACCTCTGTACACACTACACATTGGGGACACATTGACACTTGGAGGACATACCATTGGTTTCTTTACTTTCGGTCCATTCCCAAATATTTATGATTTAGTGTTCAAAGTTACAGACATCTGGTCCATTCCTATTTGAAAACACACAATGACTCGACCACTTTTAGGGTTTAGGGACGTTTCCAGATTGTTTTCATTAATTGTGTCTTTTAATATTGTCGTTTACATTTATGTTGCTGTTTATTCTCATATACTGGTTATTGTTCTGCCTTTGCACATACACTAGAATAATAATTACTTTAGTGAGAAAGAGCTAGACGTAAAACAGTCTCTTTTAGGATTATAGCTACTGTTTCTTTTGACCTTGTTCCAGAAGACTTAAGTGGTCTGACCGGAGTGAGACCAGAGTGAGACCAGAGAGAGACCAGAGTGAGACCAGAGTGAGGCCGGAGTGAGGCCAGAGTGAGACCAGAGTGAGGCCAGAGTGAGACCAGAGTGAGACCAGAGTGAGACCAGAGTGAGGCCAGAGTGAGGCCAGAGTGAGACCAGAGTGAGACCAGAGTGAGGCCGGAGTGAGGCCGGAGTGAGACCAGAGAGAGACCAGAGTGAGGCCAGAGTGAGGCCAGAGTGAGACCAGAGTGAGACCAGAGTGAGGCCAGAGTGAGGCCAGAGAGAGACCAGAGTGAGGCCAGAGAGAGACCAGAGTGAGGCCAGAGAGAGACCAGAGTGAGGCCAGAGTGAGGCCAGAGAGAGACCAGAGTGAGGACAGAGAGAGACCAGAGTGAGGCCAGAGAGAGACCAGAATGAGGCCAGAGAGAGACCAGAGAGACCAGAGAGAGACCAGAGTGAGGCCAGAGTGAGGCCAGAGAGAGACCAGAGTGAGGCCGGAGTGAGACCAGAGAGAGACCAGAGAGACCAGAGAGAGACCAGAGAGAGACCAGAGTGAGGCCGGAGTGAGGCCAGAGAGAGACCAGAGAGAGACCAGAGTGAGGCCAGAGTGAGGCCAGAGAGAGACCAGAGTGAGGCCAGAGAGAGACCAGAGTGAGGCCGGAGTGAGGCCAGAGAGAGACCAGAGAGAGACCAGAGTGAGGCCAGAGTGAGGCCAGAGAGAGAGACCAGAGTGAGGCCAGAGTGAGGCCAGAATGAGGCCAGAGTGAGGCCAGAGAGAGACCAGAGTGAGGCCGGAGTGAGGCCAGAGAGAGACCAGAGTGAGGCCGGAGTGAGGCCAGAGAGAGACCAGAGTGAGGCCAGAGTGAGGCCAGAGTGAGGCCAGAATGAGACCAGAGTGAGACCAGAGTGAGACCAGAGAGAGACCAGAGTGAGGCCAGAGTGAGGCCAGAATGAGACCAGAGAGGGACCAGAGAGAGACCAGAGAGAGACCAGAGAGAGAGACCAGAGTGAGGCCAGAATGAGACCAGAGAGGGACCAGAGAGAGACCAGACTGCGAGTTTCTGGACAGTGATACCAATCATTCATTTATTTATTTTATTGGGTTGTTTTGGAGCCAGTTTAGTGTAGTTTGTGTGTGTGAGAGAACAACCACACTGTCATGGGGCAAAACTAAAATAACATCCCAAAATGCATGAGTGCAAAAAAATAAGTGATTTAATAAAAGGGAATAACGCATAATCCAGAGATAAAATACAAACATAACCAAACTGGGAGTGAAAACAAACCCCAAGAGACGTGGAAATGACGAGAGAGAAGGACGACACAGGGTTTAAATACACAAGACTAACAGGACACAGGTGAGTCACAAGAGGGCGGGGCATCAACAGGAAGTTCCGTTTCCAAACAATACAGGTTCATTATACAGACCATTTACAATGCAATATTTTTATACAACACCGAGGAAGATCAAGAACTTCAAAAGTGAAAATTGAGTATAGTAAAAACAGAAATATAAATCCATCGAAAATTGGACCGTCCTTGACCAGTGGCGCCTGAGAGTCACCTCACAGCAGCGTGTAGACAGGTGGGATGGACTAGTTTGGGTTCTTGGTGGGTGTCATCTATCTATGTAGCATGTAGCAGGCTAATGCTAACACCCAGAGCCTCAGGGGCCTCTCTCTTTGAGCCATCTCTCCTTGTGGGGTTTGATATTTTCTGTTTTTTGTCTGTATGTATCTTGTTATAAATCAGTGTTATTATATGTCCTCGTTTAGATCGATTGGTTTGAGCCTAATATGTGGAGCAACAATTACATTTTCATGATAACAAGCTGTAAAAACAACAGCCCGACGTGAAGAGACGTGCGCAATGACTCCAGAGACGTTTGTGGGCGTGTCTGTTTGAAATGTAAATGTGGTACAATTTTTACCGAGGCGTTTTGCCGCCTCTTGGGAAATAAAGCGAAGGAATGTTCTTAAACTAAAGCTTGAGGAAATCAATTCTTGGCTTGCGGTCACGTGACGCAAGAACTTCAATCAATCAAAGTTTATTTGTAGAGCGCCTTTCATACACAGGGCAACACAAAGCGCTTCACAGTCTACATCACAAATCATCACACAAAAAACACCAGAATCACAATTAAAACATTAAAATCACACAAGGAATTAAGAAATAAACAACCACAGTGCCTTAAAAATTGAGATAAAATCCCTCAGTTGTAGCACAGGCAAACAGAACTGTCTCTAACCTGGATTTGAAAATTGTCAGAGTAGACGCCTCTCTCACATCTTCAGGAAGACTGTTCCAGATTTTAGCAGCATGAATCTGAAACGCAGCCTCCCCATGTTTAGTTCTCACTCTGGGCACTAACAGGAGTCCAGTCCCTGTGCTCCTCAGAGTCCCAGCTGGAGTCCAGTCCCTGTGCTCCTCAGAGTCCCAGCAGGAGGCCAGTCCCTGTGCTCCTCAGAGTCCCAGCTGGAGTCCAGTCCCTGTGCTCCTCAGAGTCCCAGCAGGAGTCCAGTCCCTGTGCTCCTCAGAGTCCCAGCAGGAGGCCAGTCCCTGTGCTCCTCAGAGTCCCAGCAGGAGTCCAGTCCCTGTGCTCCTCAGAGTCCCAGCAGGAGGCCGTCCCTGTGCTCCTCAGAGTCCCAGCAGGAGGCCAGTCCCTGTGCTCCTCAGAGTCCCAGCAGGAGGCCAGTCCCTGTGCTCCTCAGAGTCCGGGCTGGTTCATATGGGACTAACATGTCACTAATGTATTTTGGTGCGAGGCCATGGAGAGACTTGTAACAAGCAGAGCTGTTTTAAAGGCCCAGTCCCAATACTCGCACTTACCTCGCGCCCCTCATTTTCACGTTCCCGATGATGGGTGAGAGTGCGTAGGGTGCATAGATCTATAATAATAACTGGATAGTGTATTACAAGCTTACAGCTGTCCCACCCATGGCCACAGGGGGCGCTGTGTTACTGCAGACTAAATTCACGAGGGCTACCCAGAAAAAAGTCCCATAGAACTCAATGTAAATTAAAACAGCTCGACCTCAGCTGACAGAGAACCTGACAGAGAACCTGACAGAGAACCGGACAGAGAACCTGACAGAGAACCTGACAGAGAACCGGACAGAGAACCTGACAGAGAACCGGACAGAGAACCGGACAGAGAACCTGACAGAGAACCGGACAGAGAACCTGACAGAGAACCTGACAGAGAACCTGACAGAGAACCAGACAGAGAACCGGACAGAGAACCTGACAGAGAACCTGACAGAGAACCTGACAGAGAACCTGACAGAGAACCAGACAGAGAACCGGACAGAGAACCTGACAGAGAACCTGACAGAGAACCTGACAGAGAACCGGACAGAGAACCGGACAGAGAACCTGACAGAGAACCGGACAGAGAACCTGACAGAGAACCTGACAGAGAACCTGACAGAGAACCTGACAGAGAACCTGACAGAGAACCTGACAGAGAACCGGACAGAGAACCTGACAGAGAACCTGACAGAGAACCTGACAGAGAACCTGACAGAGAACCGGACAGAGAACCTGACAGAGAACCTGACAGAGAACCGGACAGAGAACCTGACAGAGAACCGGACAGAGAACCGGACAGAGAACCTGACAGAGAACCTGACAGAGAACCTGACAGAGAACCGGACAGAGAACCTGACAGAGAACCTGACAGAGAACCGGACAGAGAACCTGACAGAGAACCTGACAGAGAACCTGACAGAGAACCGGACAGAGAACCGGACAGAGAACCGGACAGAGAACCGGACAGAGAACCTGACAGAGAACCTGACAGAGAACCGGACAGAGAACCTGACAGAGAACCTGACAGAGAACCTGACAGAGAACCTGACAGAGAACCGGACAGAGAACCTGACAGAGAACCTGACAGAGAACCTGACAGAGAACCGGACAGAGAACCTGACAGAGAACCGGACAGAGAACCTGACAGAGAACCGGACAGAGAACCGGACAGAGAACCGGACAGAGAACCTGACAGAGAACCTGACAGAGAACCAGACAGAGAACCTGACAGAGAACCTGACAGAGAACCGGACAGAGAACCTGACAGAGAACCTGACAGAGAACCTGACAGAGAACCTGACAGAGAACCTGACAGAGAACCTACAGCTTTCAAAATGGTCTTATTTTGTGGGGATTTCAGTGTCCCTTGTCATCCTGAATTTTTTTTTCTTGTTAAATCCTTCGGTTTTCTTTAAATCCACACTTTACTGCCACAAACTCTGCTTTTTCTCTCCGCCCTAGCCCCGCTCTAACTTAGCAGCGTGCTGATTGGTCAGAGCGCTGCCCAGCCCCTTTGTAGGCGTGCGTCTCTGGCGTGAACGTCCTCCACTCGGCTCCGTTGGTGTCAGGGGAGCGAGGGAGAGAACCAAATAAACACGACATGTGCAGCGACAGCCTTTCGCAGCATTTATGTTGTTAGTGTTGATTTCTTTCTGTCTATGGCCTTTTGTTTGCGCTTTTGGATGACAAGCTAAGAATGAGTGACGCTAATGAGCCACTGCGGCACGGTGGCTGAGTGGTTAGCACTCTCGCCTCTCAGCAAGAAGGTCCTGGGTTCGAATCCCAGTCGGACCAGGGCCTTTCTGAGTGGAGTTTGCATGTTCTCCCCGTGTCTGCGTAGGTTTCCTCCGGGTGCTCCGGTTTCCCCTACCACTAAAAATATGTACAATAGTTCTGGCATGTGCCTCCTGTACTGGCCCCGCTCCCATCTCTGTGTGGAGTCAGAGACAAATGCCCAAAATTACAATTGTAAACCGCTTTGACACTCTGGTCTGCAGTGAAAAGGCGGTATATAAATAAAAACGTACGTATAAAGTCATTAATACCGAAATGAGTACAAAACACGTATAGGCACTTGCTAATCTGCGTCTTTATCTAGATATCAACAGAAAAACTAAAGAGCTGGGAGAGGTTATATGTTTTCACCATAGATGTTGTAACCTCGCCAGTTGATAACAGCACAAAAAACAGACTTAAAGCAATAATTTTTAATAGTAATACATGTGGCAAGTAATAATGCCAAATTAAGCTTCACTTTGTAATTAGGACAAACAAGGGTTATTGTTCATGTTGGTCTGCATCAGCTCTCCCCAGGGTCATTGTAGATACAAAACACTACATTAATTAGTATAATTCAACAAATATAAGACTCTTACGGACAGCTTGAAACTTAATTAGTAATTTAAATGGATTATTAAAAACACAATCAAGACCATCAATCATTTGTATTCCTCCATTTCTGTTTAAGTTAGATTTCCTTTCATTGTCTTAAAGGAGCTTTACCCGTTTGTGCAATGTTTGAATGTTTAGCCCCGCCCCCAACTCGCTCACAGGCTTCTCATTTCCCCTACGCTCTCTTAACACGGAGCCACCTAGCTCAATTTGCGATCTGATATGTATGCTAACATTAGCATTAGCACAACTTCTTGTAAGCTGTGCAACAATCACTGATGAAATGGTACTAAAGCAATGCACTGCTAACACAATATATAAGTAAAAGAATACTGCTAGTTTCGCATCCAAATTTATTCATTAAAACATTAGAATAAATTAGAATATTTAATTATAATGTATTATACAGCTCCTCACAGCAGCAGAACACTCCACTGACTTGAATGTAATTCTACCGATCATTTTTTCTTGATAACAGAACTCTCAAATCAATAATGACCGCTGCCCTTTGACAACGCAATCTCTGTTTGTAATTCAGGTGTGTAAAATACTGCCATTACTCCGCAAGTACAACGAGAGAAGCTAGCGGAGCTAGCCACGCTCAATAAACAACTACATATCTATCGATCAACACAATCAAATGTTAATCGGACAATACAGTATACAGATACATCCTTAACACACATGCACGGACCATTTCAGAATTTCTTGTTGTCGTTTTCATGACCAAATTACTATTTTAATGTGACAAAAAGCGATCGCGAGAAACCCGGAAGTAACCATTAACATGTAGTTCCAATGAGCTAGCTAGCTTAGCTGTTACCTGCCTAGCACATCCCGGTGAAACCTTTGGGAGCTAACTATTTTATTTGCAGTCTTTAAATACATTTCGAATTATAAGGGCTGTTTAATATTTGTTCAAATATATATATATTTTTTTTAATTTTAGAATTATATTCAAATTTTAAAGCCGAAGCCCAGGCTGTAGAGACTAGAGGACACAGGCTGTAGAGACTAGAGGACACAGGCTGTAGAGACTAGAGGACACAGGCTGTAGAGACTAGAGGACACAGGCTGTAGAGACTAGAGGACACAGGCTGTAGAGACTAGAGGACGCAGGCTGTAGAGACTAGAGGACACAGGCTGTAGAGACTAGAGGACACAGGCTGTAGCGACTAGAGGACACAGACTCTAGACTAGAGGACACAGGCTGTAGAGACTAGAGGACACAGGCTGTAGAGACTAGAGGACACAGACTCTAGACTAGAGGACACAGGCTGTAGAGACTAGAGGACACAGGCTGTAGAGGCTAGAGGACACAGGCTGTAGAGACTAGAGGACACAGGCTGTAGAGACTAGAGGACACAGGCTGTAGAGACTAGAGGACACAGGCTGTAGAGCCTAGAGGACACAGGCTGTAGAGACTAGAGGACACAGGCTGTAGAGACTAGAGGACACAGGCTGTAGAGACTAGAGGACACAGGCTGTAGAGACTAGAGGACACAGGCTGTAGAGACTAGAGGACACAGGCTGTAGAGACTAGAGGACACAGGCTGTAGAGGCTAGAGGACACAGGCTGTAGAGACTAGAGGACACAGGCTGTAGAGACTAGAGGACACAGGCTGTAGAGGCTAGAGGACACAGGCTGTAGAGACTAGAGGACACAGGCTGTAGAGACTAGAGGACACAGGCTGTAGAGACTAGAGGACACAGGCTGTAGAGACTAGAGGACACAGGCTGTAGAGACTAGAGGACGCAGACTGTAGAGACTAGAGGACACAGGCTGTAGAGACTAGAGGACACAGGCTGTAGAGACTAGAGGACACAGGCTGTAGAGACTAGAGGACACAGGCTGTAGAGACTAGAGGACACAGGCTGTAGAGACTAGAGGACACAGGCTGTAGAGACTAGAGGACACAGGCTGTAGAGACTAGAGGACGCAGGCTGTAGAGACTAGAGGACACAGGCTGTAGAGACTAGAGGACACAGGCTGTAGAGACTAGAGGACACAGGCTGTAGAGACTAGAGGACTCAGGCTGTAGAGACTAGAGGACACAGGCTGTAGAGACTAGAGGACACAGGCTGTAGAGACTAGAGGACACAGGCTGTAGAGACTAGAGGACACAGGCTGTAGAGACTAGAGGACACAGGCTGTAGAGACTAGAGGACACAGGCTGTAGAGACTAGAGGACACAGGCTGTAGAGACTAGAGGACGCAGGCTGTAGAGACTAGAGGACACAGGCTGTAGAGACTAGAGGACACAGGCTGTAGAGACTAGAGGACACAGGCTGTAGAGGCTAGAGGACACAGGCTGTAGAGACTAGAGGACACAGGCTGTAGAGACTAGAGGACACAGGCTGTAGAGACTAGAGGACTCAGGCTGTAGAGACTAGAGGACACAGGCTGTAGAGACTAGAGGACACAGGCTGTAGAGACTAGAGGACACAGGCTGTAGAGACTAGAGGACACAGGCTGTAGAGACTAGAGGACACAGGCTGTAGAGGCTAGAGGACACAGGCTGTAGAGACTAGAGGACACAGGCTGTAGAGACTAGAGGACACAGGCTGTAGAGACTAGAGGACACAGGCTGTAGAGACTAGAGGACGCAGGCTGTAGAGACTAGAGGACACAGGCTGTAGAGACTAGAGGACACAGGCTGTAGAGACTAGAGGACACAGGCTGTAGAGGCTAGAGGACACAGGCTGTAGAGACTAGAGGACACAGGCTGTAGAGACTAGAGGACACAGGCTGTAGAGACTAGAGGACACAGGCTGTAGAGACTAGAGGACACAGGCTGTAGAGACTAGAGGACACAGGCTGTAGAGACTAGAGGACGCAGGCTGTAGAGACTAGAGGACACAGGCTGTAGAGACTAGAGGACACAGGCTGTAGAGACTAGAGGACACAGGCTGTAGAGGCTAGAGGACACAGGCTGTAGAGACTAGAGGACACAGGCTGTAGAGACTAGAGGACACAGGCTGTAGAGACTAGAGGACACAGGCTGTAGAGACTAGAGGACACAGGCTGTAGAGGCTAGAGGACACAGGCTGTAGAGACTAGAGGACACAGGCTGTAGAGACTAGAGGACACAGGCTGTAGAGGCTAGAGGACTCAGGCTGTAGAGACTAGAGGACACAGGCTGTAGAGACTAGAGGACGCAGGCTGTAGAGACTAGAGGACACAGGCTGTAGAGACTAGAGGACGCAGGCTGTAGAGACTAGAGGACACAGGCTGTAGAGACTAGAGGACACAGGCTGTAGAGACTAGAGGACACAGGCTGTAGAGACTAGAGGACACAGGCTGTAGAGACTAGAGGACACAGGCTGTAGAGACTAGAGGACACAGGCTGTAGAGACTAGAGGACGCAGGCTGTAGAGACTAGAGGACACAGGCTGTAAAGACTAGAGGACACAGGCTGTAGAGACTAGAGGACACAGGCTGTAGAGACTAGAGGACACAGGCTGTAGAGACTAGAGGACACAGGCTGTAGAGACTAGAGGACACAGGCTGTAGAGACTAGAGGACACAGACTGTAGAGACTAGAGGACACAGGCTGTAGAGACTAGAGGACACAGGCTGTAGAGACTAGAGGACACAGGCTGTAGAGACTAGAGGACACAGGCTGTAGAGACTAGAGGACACAGGCTGTAGAGACTAGAGGACAGGCTGTAGTGACTAGAGGACACAGGCTGTAGAGACTAGAGGACACAGGCTGTAGAGACTAGAGGACACAGGCTGTAGAGACTAGAGGACACAGGCTGTAGAGACTAGAGGACACAGGCTGTAGAGACTAGAGGACAGGCTGTAGTGACTAGAGGACACAGGCTGTAGAGACTAGAGGACGCAGGCTGTAGAGACTAGAGGACACAGGCTGTAGAGACTAGAGGACGCAGGCTGTAGAGACTAGAGGACACAGGCTGTAGAGACTAGAGGACACAGGCTGTAGAGACTAGAGGACACAGGCTGTAGAGACTAGAGGACACAGGCTGTAGAGACTAGAGGACACAGGCTGTAGAGGCTAGAGGACACAGGCTGTAGAGACTAGAGGACACAGGCTGTAGAGACTAGAGGACACAGGCTGTAGAGACTAGAGGACTCAGGCTGTAGAGACTAGAGGACACAGGCTGTAGTGACTAGAGGACACAGGCTGTAGAGACTAGAGGACACAGGCTGTAGAGACTAGAGGACACAGGCTGTAGAG